GTGACAGTTGTCACAGCCAGCTCTGCAGTGACAGTCGTGCGCTGGAGAGACCAAGCCCACGGCACACATCAGATGATAAGAGGCCACCGGAGCCTCTCATCAGCAGAGTTCGGCTCTACTCTGGGGACAGTGAGGCGCTACTGTGGGCTCCTAACCCAGAGAGTGCCGGCATTTCCATCAATAGTCTGTGCAGCACAAGGAACGGGAGAGGTTTGGGGCAAGGGGGCAATCTCAGGACTCGCCACCCTCAAGAGATGAAGTCACTGCGTTCCTGAAACAGGCAGGTGGAATTTTAAAGGGAGAGAACCAGAGAGTCTGCTTGACTGATAACACATCGCAGTTTCTGGGAACTCCGTCCACCCTCAGGAGGGGGTCTCTGTCCTCCTGCCCACCCACACCTCCACCTCTCCTGCCAGCCCCCCGAGGGCAGACGCCGTCTGTAACTGGACTCCCTGCATCGCCCCCGGCTGGCCACCCTCAGTCCCCGCTTCCCTTTCATCAACACCTTCCTCGGAAAGATCACCTACACTCACCTCTGCTTGCTGTATGCATTGAAGCATGGCGGTCCCCTTCTGTCCTCACCGGGCCTTGGGCACTGCTTTCTAAGGCCTGTATCTGACAGGCACTTACCATCTCGACTTTCACCTCACTTCCCTGTGGTCCCTGCCTTCTCGCCCTGAACTTTCTCCTCCCTCATCTTCTGTGCCCCCCACTTTCATGGTTTCCTTTAAACATTTTGCGAGAGGAAACCCACTTTCTTCTATGGGCTTCTTGTTCTCCTGCCCCCGGAGTGCCGCTGTTTCTCAGAGCTCCAGCACTGACCCCCTTCTTGCCGCCTCGCCTGTGTCATTTCCTTCTGCGATTTCTTCTCATTTCCGTGACTACGGCTGTGCAACAACTCATCCTAAGGTTTGAAGTGTTTCTGGCCGTAGAGGGCTCTCGTCGAAAGACTACAATATGGAGCCAGGTGTCCGAGTGCTTTCCTAGCTCCGTTGTATTTGCTCTGCGATCTTAGACAAGTTACTTAACATCTTTGTTAAAATGATGAAAATAATATTACTTACCCCTTAGAATTATCGTGAGGTTTATATGAGTGAGTTAATACAAAATTCTTAGAACTGTGTCTGGCACAAGCTAAGTGCGTTAATCTTTTGCTATGATATTAGTACTAGTATTTCAAATCCAGCATGGCCAGACTGTGCTTTACTCTACCATTCCCTCATTAAAACAAAGATGCCTTTCTGTACTTCCTATATATTTTCTCCTTGTTAATAGTTTCTCCATTCACTAATATCCAGGGAAGACTTCTGGGCGCCTTCCAAGTCCCCTAACCTCTCCCTTATCCCCCCAGCAAGAATGGCCCCCAGACTGTGTCAGTCAGCCTTCCTCATGACTCTGGCAGGTCTCCATGCCCACTCCCCTCATCAGCCCCACCCCCTGATCACTGCAGAACATGTTCCCAGGGCTGCCCGCCTCCTCTCTCCTCCAGCTGTGGCTCATCCTCCGCCTCCCAGAATGCAGCCTATAAAAGGCAAATTTGGTCATCATACATGTTGCTTAAAACTCTTCCAAGGCTCCCGACAGGATCAAGTCAAAGTGTCGGTGTGACATACAACAGCCCCTGTGATACGGCTCCTGCATGCTATGACCGTTGTCTCCTGTCCCTACCCAACGCGCCTTGCCTCCCTGCCACTGCGCATTCTACACAGCTCTTTCTGCCTTGAACGTCCTGCTTCCTGTTCCCCTTTCAATTCCCAGCCACCTGGAAAACTTACTCTCTGAGATCCAGCTCTAACATCCCTTCCCCTGGAAGCCCTCCCTGACACCTGCCCCAAGGAGAGTTGATTACGTACTTCATTTAAGAATAAGTTCCGGCCCTGGCTGGCATAGCTCAGTAGATCGAGCACGGGCTGCGAACCAAAGTGTCGCAGGTTCGATTCCCAGCCAGGGTACATGCTTGGGGTGCAGGCCATAACCCCCAGCAACCGCACATTGATGTTTCTCTCTCTCTCTCTCTCTCTCTCTCTCTCTCTCTCTCTCCCTCCCTTCCCTCTCTAAAAGTGAATAAATAAAAAAATCTTAAAAAAAAAAAAAGGAAGTTCCATCACCGTACAAAGTGCTGTCCCAGTGCCCCTCACATCTCGTGAACACATTTTACACCTCCATCTCCCTTACTTTATTGCTGGCTCCCGGAGGACAGAAAGTGGGTCCTAGCCATCTTTGCATTTCCAGTGCCTGGCATGTTATAGATGCTCAACAAAGGCTTATCGAATGAATGAAAGAAAAAAATGAATGAATGAAAGAAACCACAATATATGATGACATTTGCTATACAGGAAGTAAAGTAGGGAGAAAGTTTGCAACCCTAGAAACCTGGAACAGTAGTAGATGAATGAACAGAAATAAGGAAATTGAAAAACACAGAAACCAAAAAATCAGTTTAGCGTGAGTAACAACAATGATGGGTTCAGTTTTGTGCCAGTTGAATCCCATTTGCACCAATAGGCAATTAGAAGAGCAGGGTCAGAAAACAGCTGAGAATTCAAGGTTAAAATTACAGATTTCAGAATTAAAATTGAAGAAGTAATTGTTTTAACCAACAAAAAAGTTTTCCAGTTATATAGAGTAGTATGAACAGTTGACCCTCTTCTAAAAGGAAAAAATTCAAGAACTTTCTAAACATGGTTTAAAATAATAACTACAAAAGTAATACTTAATGGAATCATGAAGAGTTTAGCATGACCCTCTCAAAAGGGAAGCATAAAAAGAAATGGAAGACTCATGCAAAAAGTACTTCTAGGACAATACCCAAACCAAAAGCAGCTCCCCCACCCTGGCTGCAGCGCCCACACAGGACGGTCTCAGCGCCTAGGCTTCTGTTACACTGGCCTCCCATGCTCTCTGCGAAGCCCTAAGAACTCATCAGCTATTGTGCTGATGTTACACAGATAATGCTCACCTCCAGATGGCTCCAAAAAGGACTGCTAAAAAGGCAGAGAAACAAAAACATGTAACTGATTGGCTCTGTAAGCCAGCTCATCAGGTAAGGTGTAAGCAGTTATAATTACACTATACCAAATAACTTGTCTGATTTTTTTTCTGAGTTGATCGTGTGTGTGCATGTGTGTATATGTGTGTACCAAGCCAATACAGCTAGTGACTAACAGAGAAAATGTGCTTTACAAGAACATAGCCAAAGCCCTGGCTGGCGTAGCTCAGTGGATTGAGCGTGGGCTGTGAACCAAAGTATCGCAGGTTATATTCCCAGCCAGGGCACATGCCTGGGTTGCAGGCCACAGCCCCCAGCAACCGCACATTGATGTTTCTCTCTCCCTTCCCTCTCTAAAAATAAATAAATAAATCTTTTTAAAAAAAAAGAACATAGCCAGCCCAAATATATTATAATTATGCCCCTGATAACCCAACATAGGTGGGGACCAAAAAACATCTTTCCCCTGGAACCTTTATGCACCCCGCCATGGGCGAAGTAGCAGCAGCCCTGGTTTTGTGATTTACACAGTCCCCAGGCTGGTCCGCTTCCTTACAGCTTCCTAAATCTCCTTTCTCTTTCCTCCACGAGTCTTCGAACCATTTCCAACAGACTGCCCTATCAAAAGTATGTTGCAGCCCTGCTCTCCTGGACTGATAAGGCCCTATCATACTGGACGTGAAGTACAAGACGCTCCTTCTTGGGTGCTTAAAGCATTCCATACTTCTCCCCTCCTCCTTCCTCCTCTCCATGCGACACGGAACATCTGGGGCACAGCAAACACGGAAAGGCTCCACCTGGACTGAGACTAGGGCAGGCCCCTCCCGGGACTCTCCTGGCTTTGCTCCTGCTCCGGGTGGCCACTGGGGTCCGACCCAGGTGGGTGATCCCAGTTCCGCCGCTTACTCGCTGCGTGATCTCATGCGAGGCACTCAACGTCCAGGGAGTGAAATGATGTCCTTATCAGAACAAGGAAATTGGAATAATAGCAGCAATCCCATGGATGTGTGAGGATGAAGGACAGACGCACACACGAGGCAACCACTACGGCACTGGAGCAAGGCGCTCAAGGAGCGCCCGGCCCCTCCCCGTCCTCCCCTCCCCACCCCCAGCCTCACCCTGGCTGCGGTGGCCACGCGGGACAGTCTCAACTCCTAGGTTCCCGTCATGCTCACTTCCCAAGTGCCAAAACCATGAGTTTAGGGACTACTTTTGAAGGGGGTGACAATTGCCCCAATCAAAACGAAAATCTATTTCAAGTTTATTGATTGATCATCCACTCATATGTACTTACGGAAGGTCTGCTGGACTGGGTACATGTCTGCAAGACATGGCCACTTTCGGATTTCATTATAAAAAATAAATGTTGACCATATTTGCATACATGCTAAGTGTATTGTGTACACCCATAATACATACTACATGGCTGTATGTATTTACATTTAATTCAGCACTTACCCTGTGCCGGGCACTCTGCAGAAGTAGCTCATAGTTTTATGCTATCTCACTGGGCAAAGGAACAATTTTCACAGTAACCCTATTGATGTAAGTACAGTTATTACCCCTATTTTACAGATGAGCAAACTGAGGCTTGAGGACCTTCAGTAACTTAGCCAAGGTCACACAGCCAGCAGGTAAATATTATCGTACTCAACATTGCTAAATAACCCATTGTTTTGATGATGCTCGTGTTTTATTTTCATTGAAAGCTCAGAGGCTGTGGTTTAACTGCTTTTAACTTAGAACGAGGCGCACGGCTGAGCCCCAAGCAGAAAATAAACAGGAGGACAGGTGTTAAAGAGAGCGGTGGGAGCTGTAACCCGAAGCCTCGGCCGCCGCCTCTCCTCCCCCACGCCCAGAGGGCTGCGGGCTGCACCCAGCCAGTGCCCGGCTGTAAACTCCCTTGGGTCTGGCGCGGCTCTTTCTTCCAAAGTTGGAGCTCTCCTTGGTGGGAAGGGGCGGGGAGGAGAGCGGGCTGGTGACGTCACTGGGGAGCGGGGATAAAGCTCTCAGGCCTCAGTCCCAGCGAGGACAGTGCCCGGGGAGCATAGGGGGCGACCCAGCTCAGGACCGCTCGCCGCGCGCAGGGCTGCCCCTTGCTGCGCCCCCCCACCCGAGGAAGGCCGCGCCAGGAGGCACCATGCCCCAGAACGTGGTCCTCCCTGGCCCTGCGCCCTGGGGCTTCAGGCTCTCGGGGGGCATAGACTTCAACCAGCCCTTGATCATCACCAGGGTAGGTGCTTTTCCGTTCTTTTCCTACAAGTCGGGGGCTCTGGCTTGCGGCCGGTCCCCCTGGAGTGGAGAGTGGCTAGTGAGCCCGGGTGCGCTGGGGAGGTCCCGGAGTTGGGGCTCACCCCTGGAGGGGCGGCGGCGGCTGCACAAAGTGAGGTTTGGAGGATGCAGAGCACCTTAGGACAGCTAGCCGCGCCTGCATCCCCCAGGTCTCCAGCAACTTTCCGGGAGCGGAGCGGCGGCGTGATGTCTCTGGGCTGTGCCTAGACTTCGAGGGCCGGGTGCCCTTTTCAGTAACAAGGGAGATGAGGACACGGGAGAAGGAGATGGGCACCAGGAGAGGGGAAAAGAGAAAGGACGGTCCCCGGTGCCCGCTCCCCGCTCCCCGGAGCCAGGCGCACCAGTAAGCGCTGTTCCTGCCTGGGGGGGAAACTTCAGCAGGGCGCTGTTCACGGGGCCCACGACCTGGGCCGGCCCAGCGGGAACCGCTCCTATCGGCTCAGACAGGGAAAGGATTACTAATCTGTGTCCCTCGGTGTCCAGGCTTTTGGAATACATGTTTTCCAAAGCCAGGAACTTGGCTGAGGCATTATCACCTACAACTCAAACTGCAAAGAAAACGGGTCAGATTGTTTTTAGTTTCCTCCATGGAAAGTCAGCAATAGGCCTAACAACTCCGAGAATGATGCCCCACTACCAAAGTCAAGCTCTCCTTAACAGCCTTCTAAGTATTGGCTAATGAGGGAGAAAGGAAAAGGAAACCTCGCAATCTCTGTCCTGTCAGTAAACCCCTGGTGGCTCTACTCGATTTCTTTCTAACACAAGTATTTGTCTTAAAAGAAAATCATTGCTTCAGTTATCACCCATAAAGCATATTAAACCTAGTTTTTTAATGCTTTATTTTCTTTTCTTCCTCACTGCTTACCCTGTATCTTACAATCTGATTGGTTCACAGAGATTTTTGAGCAAGGTAATACCTTTTACATTCCATATACTATTTATACCTCTAGGAGATTTGGAAACCCATGTCTCACAAAAATACCACCGAACGTGTATCACACAGACGCATACCCTGGAACACTTCAGTCTTTGGCTTACAGTTTTCAAAAACATATAAACACATCTGACATGTGTTTTTGTATGAGACGTGAAAACTTAACATACCCCAAAAAATGTTGCTAAGTAAATTAAGCAGAAAACGGTTCGGTGATCAGGGCCAAGCAATGCCTTTTATGGCTTTACCAGAGAAAACAGTTTCCATTATCTCTACTAAGAAATATTTTTAAAGTTTCTGAAGTGTACTTTTCACTTGTTCATACCATAGGAAATAAGCGTTTGAATTCTAACCAAAGGTGAATCGTATTTATATAAAGTCCTAAAGAAACAATTAAGTGATTTACAAAGGAAATATCTTGCTTTTACTACGTAACATGTCAGTATGCTTCATCTCGTGTTTGAAATTTGAGTTGTTGACATTTGAAACATTTATCTAAAGCTGTGCTTACGTTTTGGAATTGCACTGCAGGCGCTCTTTGGAAATGTATCTGATACGATGACAATTACCGCTTGGGAAGCCAGTTCTTGTTTTAACTTTTAACTCATTACTAATTCCCATCACTCATGCTGACACTTGATTCAATAACAGTGCGCGGCCACATATGATTATTTCACTTGGCCGTGCCTCTTCTCTCCAGTTAATTTAATTCAAGGAGAACAGGCAAAAATAAGTGGCTGTGTTCTTCAGGTGTCCCCCAAACCAGGGCCATGGTAGACTCCTGCTGGATAAATGAAAACACGCTTGCTTGAACTTTGTTGCCATCGTGATCACCTAGTTGAGACTGCTTTCCACTTAAACTATAAGAATACTAAAAATCATTTAGAAAAAGACCAAAAGGTAGTGCCCAAAAATAATTGTCAGTGTTGTAAGTAGATAGTAGGATGATTCCATTACTTTGATAATGTTTCTATTATGTGAAAAGGGAGTGACAAGGGTTGACTGCCATGCTCCCTTCTAAGCCTGTTGTATGCAGGGACTCACTTAAACCTCACAATAGTCCAGTTAGAGCGGCAGCCTATTATCCCTTTTTACGGACAAGGAGGGGGAGGCTCAAGAGACTCACGACCCTGCTGATGACCGCAGGTGGTGGGACAGAATTTGACGCCAGGTCTACCCGCCTCCAAAGTCTTCACATGGGTTGAAGGATTCTGCTTATCGTACAGATATTTCCAGCTAGGTGTTCTGTGCCATCCAATTCATCACGTGGTTCTCCTGATTCTCTGTGGTTAAGATTTACCACTTCTGTTTCCACCACTGTCCCTTTTCAAGATTTCCTAACGTCCCACTGAGCTCTTTGTCTCCCTCTCCAATTCACCCTGCATATTCCTTGCATCCATCACGGGAGATGCAAGCTCGCTCCTGTCTTCCCCATTCTTCGACACCCTTCGATAGCATCCCAGATTATAGCGGCTAAAATGTGTGGTCTTTGCGCGCTCACGGCTTCCGCCCTCTCTCCCAACCCGTGTTTCCGACTCCACTTCCTCCTGCTCTGGCCCTTCTCGCTCCCTCCCCTCCCCCAACTCCATGCACAGGCGGTGGGGCCGCGACTCAGGACCACTCACGATTCCTCACCTAGTTTCACTCCCCATCCGTTTTCTCCAGAATTCTTGGCCCCACCCCACTGTCCACTGTACCAGTGGAAACCCAGTCAAATGGCATTTGACCCCTTTGATGACCATAGCTTCTGACCTATGACCTCTCCTCTTCCCACCACAGGTGGTTGTATCCATCTGTACCCCACAAATCACATGCTCCCCAAGGACAGGAACTTTCAAATGAGGGGGTACTCAGTGCCCAGCATAGTGTCTTGTACATCACATGCCTTACAGAATAAATATGACACACGTGAATGACTAAAGTGCTCACTTTTTATGTAACTATCACAAATAAGTAGATTGTGTCCTCAAACATATTCCATGATAAAGATGAATGACAATTATTTTGTTAATTGATGTATTTTAGATAAGTTCTTAAGTACATAAAGAATCAAAACACCAGTGCCTACACTCAATACCACAGAAAGTCCCATAAATAAGATGAATTTCTGAAATAAATTAAATCCATTCTGGTTCTCCTACAAGCCATCCCCTTCCCCCCCCACCCACCCACCCCACACCGTCCAAATCCAGACCACAGCAGCGCTCCTGGAGAGTGGGCCTCCACTCCCCCTGAGCCAGGGCAGGGGCTTATACATGTAGCTCTCCCCATCCATTGAAATGGCACCCCATAATTGCTTACAATCCAGTTAATCAGCTGGGTTAATCTCTGCATCATTAAAAACATCAGAAGTATGGTAAACCAAATACCAGACATTCTCAAAAAATTGAGCAATTGGTTGTGATACACACAGTTTTTAGGAAAGCAATTTTTCGGCCTTACGCAATAAAACTTCTGTTGTGGGGTTCATTTCAGGGCAGCGGGGGGTTTCTGCAAACCCCACACGTAACTGGCCTAAGTATTGCACAGAGTGAAGCTTAGGGCTCACATCTCTAAGTGAGCAGCTTTTTTTTTTTCTGGCAAGAAGGTTCTAAGGAGTCCTTCTTTCTGAAGTGTTCGGACCACCCAGAAGGACAACATACTATCAATGCCAAGTTACAAATCATTTGTTTTCACAAACGGTCCAGTTTGGAATAAAGCACAAGCTTCTCTTATGCACATGATGTAGGATTATTGTATACATCTGATGCCAGCGTGTCCTTTCCCACTCAGCTCCTCTTCCCCCACCTCCCTCCCCCCTCCTTCCTGTTCAGAGCACACCCAGGTTCAAGATCACTGGAACCGAGAATGCCATTTGGACTTGGGTACCAACATAGAAAAATGTTAGTGTATTCCTGAATGTTGCAGCCTCTAACATAGAAATGTATATTACTTTAACATAAACTATAGTTGAAATTTGAACTTTTAGGAAAAAAAATGTTTATAGCGGAGTGCAATCCTCTCCCAGGTGTCAAAGGTAGGAGGAAGGTTGACGTGAATAAAAACCTATATAATCTTGTTCGACCAAAGACGTGACTGCACGGACGAGCTGGTTTCTGCGTGAATGGTACTCACACAGCCCACAAGTAGCTGTTCAGTGCAGAATGTATTGTCTGCGGGAGGCACTGCGGGGGATACCGTTATAACGTAATTGGTTTCTACACCCTGAGAAGCTCATGGATCGGTAGAAGGGAAAGACGTGAACATGAACCACAGTGGTACCACCGTCGGGGATTCCACGGAAAGAAGTGTGACGAGGAGACAGGAGAAGCTGGGGGAGGGACCACCTGCAGGAGTGGGCTGGTGGGATGGTGGAGGAGCTTCAGCGGTCAAGTGACACACCCCCATGGGAAATACAGATCTTCACTGGGTGCGGGGCCCTAAGCAGGTTTCTCATACTTTCTGAGCGTCAGTTTTCTCGTGTTACAACAGTGTCTTGAGTATTGAGATCCTAGTTCTTGATAACGAGACAATACCAATAATAGCAAGGATAATACTGGAAGAGTGCTCGCCCCTGGCTGTACACAAGACTCACCGAGATAAACCCATGCGCAGGGACTACCTACAGAGAGTCTGGTGTAACCGGTGTGGGCACGGCTCTGGAGATGTAGATGCAGGTGCTAGGAGGCTGGAATTCCAGGGGAGGCACGGGAGTTTATTGGTAGACAATGGCGAACAATCCAACAATGCGGTTTCTCAGCACTTTGACCCACATGCCCCGGCAATGCCCTTCCGTATAGACTTGTCTCCCTCCAGGGCTGCCCCGATCATTTTCATTCATGACATAAAAATCTCCTAAGGGCCACTTCTTGGACTTGCCTTGTGTTTCCCAGAGTAAACAGAACATTATAGATCCTTCTTCTATGTTTTAAATTATTTTTTCCCAAACAGCCCCCATTAATAGGCTGATGTGAATGATGAAAATCTGAGGCGCTCGTTACAAACACGGATTCCCTGGCTCCTCTGCCGGAGCCTCTGGGTCATGACCCCAAGATCCGGGATGCGGTGGAGTCTTCATGTCCGGCTGACTAGCTCTTTTCCTCTCACAAACTCTAAGTTAAATGGCCTCTCCATTCATTTTTCAAGCATTCTTTCATTCCCAACACCGGAATATACACTGTGAAGCATTAGGAAGAGACATGATATAACTTCCAGCCCCCAGACTGCCCGTCTGGTTAGGGAGACAGATGACGCACAGGTACATACCCAGGCGTAAAAGTGCACACTGTCTTCACGGAGGAGACGAACAGGGCGGAACGGTGGAGAAGGATGGGGTGGGAGCTGGAGAAACGACTTCAGATGTTCGGGGGCGTCTCTCTGAAAAGGTGACTTCTGAGCCTAGACCAAAGGGAGGAGAAGGGACAACTGGATGGAGAGTAGGGGAAGCATCCCTGGCAAAACTAGCAGTGCGTGTGAAACACAAAGAGGGCGCGGGGCTGGCCTCACTGAGAGCTAGCAGAAAATCAGAATAGCCCCGTGCAGTAGTGGGGGGAGGGGCGGCAGTGGCATGGTGATGCTGGAGAAGCAGGCGGGGACGACCAGCGAGGACGCTCAGGCAGGGGCAGAGAGCTGGGACCCACCCAGAAAGACTGCGAGCAGGCACAGCAATCAAACAATCACTGACCATTCCACACGATAATAATTTCAACTGTGTTATCTTTTCAACTAAACATGTAACCACCATATTTTCCCCATGTCTTTAAGTATTCCTTTCGTTTCACCACCTCCCACCCCCAAAGAAAAACTCCACCATGGATTTCTGGTAGTCAGCATAAAAATGGAACTTGCTCTTTGACCTAGTTTGACAATCTCTGTTAAAAAAAGAAGTGTGGTGTGTTTAGACCATTTATATTTAATGTGGTACTGACAGAGTTTAATTAAAATGTTGCGTCTTGTTTTCTATTCGTTCCGTCTGTCCCCCACGCACGCACAGAGAAGAGGCTGCGTGGGTATAAACTTTCTTGTGTCCGTGGCTCCCCGGGGTTCTAGACTCCAAATACTAACTCACACTCGACCTTGAACAATTTGCCCACAATTTTAACTGAATTCTTCTAACAGCGAGTCCGGGGGCCCCGCCTTCCTCCTTGCTCGGATTCAGGCGAGCCCGGGCTTACATCCTGTCCTTCCTTGCGGGCACCTGTCTGTCTTTCCTTAAATTCCGGGCTGGTCGGTTGCCCTGCAACTTCAGCTATCTGAAGAGTTCATGAAAAGTGACTATTTTATTGATCATGTGGCTTCTTCTTATTAACTCAGGGGGGATTCTCCTTCAAGCTCTCTCTATCCCAAGTACCCATTCATGTGAATCCTAATTTATAGAGATACTAAAGCAGTTTCAATTCCAATATGAAATCTTCCTAAATTTAGTGAAGCTTGATTCCCTAATAGCAAGTTGGAGGGTAACCAAAAAACTAAAAATCAAGTTATTTTGCTTAAAGCAAGGAAAAGGTGATTCAAACAGGGAGGTTAGGGAGGTGTTGTAAAAAGAATGCGAGACAACATGATAAAGGAAACGTAGTTCATAAGAAACAAAATTGCAAGGGAAATAGAGCTAACACAATTGATCCACTAAGAGTTAGCTTAAGTTAAATTTAGGATTTCCTGCCCCATAAAACATGTTCCATGTCGCCAAGCTGAAATACGAATCTCAGGCATGAAACTCAAGCTGTTCATTGCAAGACGGTGACACTGACCAGGCGCCATGATTTCTTCCAGATTACCCCAGGCAGCAAGGCGGCGGCGGCCAACCTGTGCCCGGGCGATGTCATCCTGGCTATTGATGGCTTCGGGACGGAGTCCATGACTCACGCCGACGCCCAGGACCGGATCAAAGCAGCAGCACACCAGCTGTGCCTCAAGATCGACAGGTGCTCCTTAACCCGCGGCGCTGACACGGGGTCTGGGTGCCAGGAGAACTTGAACCGAAACTACAAGTGGTTTCGTGCCCCCAGGGAGGAGTGGGGCACAGAAACTAGAATGTCCACCGGCTGCTTTCCACAGCAGCCACTCCAGTCCAGTCTGCTCTGCCCTGAAGTCAGGCCTCCTAAACAGTCGTTAGCAAACTGTTTCTACAAGGAATTCTCTGGGATGTCAGAATAATGACAGAGGCGAAGGGCATTTTTTTCCTTGTACCAATCCAGTTAAATGACTATGAAAACAGAACCGCTGAAGGTACTGGCCACAGGAACACGGCAGGGCACAGCTAGCCGTCCCGCTGCACTAGACGTGGTAGAAAACGGGACTCAGAGATTCTCCTGAAAGAACCTCTCGACCTCACAAAATGTGGCCTTGTTAAAAATCGGTTGCTAATGTGCTGTATGCCATTGGCTGTTTTGTACAGAATTCGGCCCTGAAGAATCTCATGAGGTGTGAGGATGTGTGTACCCAGGAGTGTGTTAGGTCATGAGACATTTCTGACCAAAAACAATAGTAGGGAATTGAACCTGATCTTTTGCCCTCAGAGCCCGATACGAACCGATTGTGAAGACAGGTTTTGTCCCAGTGGTGGTTAGTGTGCTTATCTTGATGCTACAGTGGGCACGGTTCTCCCTGCTGGCCCGGGGGGCAGGCAGCGACCTGCCCCCTGCCGGGGCGGAACGGACTCCTTCCCTGTCTGTGTACAGCCTGTGCCCCTGCCAAGCACAGCACAGCGTCCCAGATACGTAAGGGGGGTTGGACAAAGCGCAGTCCTTGATGCCAACAGCAGACCCGCCTGGCCAATCCCTCACCATCCCTTTGTGCCCTGGGCAGGCTAGGAGGGAAGTAGCGGAGACCCAGGGACCTTGGCCTGGGGTCATGGGCAGGGGACTGGGGTTTCACCATGTGAATGTGAGGGGGACACAAATACTCATCCACAGCGGCCCACGGGGTGCTTCCACGTTTCCCCGAAAGCACACTAACTATGGAAGGCCAATGAGATGGGAGAGCACAGACTATGAGCAAGGGACATCGCTTTTGCTTCGGTTATCAAGGGTTAACGGTATCCCCACCAACGTTACAGGAAACCGAAGCATACTAGGACTGGAAGTATCTTTAGACTTTGGAGTTAACGAACTGTACTGTATTTCCAGGGCGGAAACTCGCCTGTGGTCTCCTCAGGTATCTGAAGACGGGAAGGCACATCCTTTCAAGATCAACTTGGAATCAGAACCCCAGGTATGAATTTTGGAATAACGATATTTATTATTTGGAATAATGATGATATTCATGTTACATTTCCCTTTAAATGTTGTGGGCGACTTCCAAGAGGGAGGAGAAGTGGCAAATATAAAAAACTGGAGTAAATCTTTATTATCTGAGATTAATTTAGATTCCCCACATTTTCTTACATCAATAAAACAGAGAGGGATGCCTAGCTGAACATCTTGTTCAAATGCAAACACGTTCTCATCAGGAAAAACTTGGCTATATCTACCTACGTAGAGTCTACTTAATTTTTCATTGTCTTTTATGATGGACTTCTGCCAAATGACCGTGAGGTGATCCAAGAACATTAAGACGTTAAAACAACAGGGAGGGGCAGACAACCATTGGAAACAGGTGTCTCCAAGCTGTTACTGGAACCTCAGCCTTCCCAGGTCTTTGCCCAGACCTTACTTTTCATCAGTTCCTTGACTCTCGGTTCAGGCATTCTGTAGTCAAGTGTATTCTACGGAAAGTCTTGCACTCTGTAATCAAGATGACATTCTGCTCGTGCAGTTAAATTACAACGATAAAGGGCTTTCCCTTGCAGCAACGCGATCTACTGAGCTAAACTCATTGAATAATCTGCTATTTATCTGACTAGGTCTCTTCTCACAAGCTCCAAAAATCCGAAATGAAACCAACCCTCGAGTGAGCTGTATGGGAAACGTAATTAAGAAAATGGTTTTAGAGCCTCTACTTAGAAGCTCCCCAAGTTTAGAGAGACAGCCTTATAAATCAAATACCTCTTTTAAAAGGAGCATTCCTACTACGCTGAGTAGAGGTTCCCGAGGCGGGGTTTTTCCAGGTATCTAGTGAAAACGGGCCGCAAGCGGACTTGTACCTGACGGCCCAGCAGCGTCTCCCTCCGGGGCTGGTCGGCCTCTGTGTTGCCCCTTCAGCTCTCCCACTGGTCTCCACGAGCCCCCGTGCCTTCCCCGTAAGGCACGTGACGGAGCGGGCCTTTGCACGGGTCTCTCACAGGGAGGGCTTCTCAGACGGGAAGGTAAACAACTGGGCACCTCAGATTGTTCACAGAGGCATTGAATTAAGTGGGAGCTCTCATAATTATTGGTGGAGCAACACCCTCCCCCACCCCGCACCGGGGTGCCACCAGAAGTCCCCCCAACAATGAGGGAGGAAAGCTGCCCTGTGTCAGGGCTTCCTAGAGACCAGGAATGCCTTCCTCATCGCTGTCCCCAGGGTCATTACAAATTACTTTGGATTAAACAGGAAAGGCGTGGGAGGGGCTACAGAGAGACTGCCTTTTCTGACTTGGCCCAGGACCCGTCCTGGGCACCCATCCTCAGAATACTGCCCTGCCACCACCCCCAGCTGCTGCGGGTAACAGTGGCGGTGCTAGGTGAGTGGGGTAGGTAGGTCCGACAAGGGTTCTGCTCTTCCAGACAAGCGAGCAAAAGATAAAGTGGATAAGACAGGTAATAAACGTGGCCCGCGGTGTGCCCTGGCCTCCCAGCGGGGTTGGTGAGTAACAATACCTCTAATCTTCTGTCTTTGATAGAAGAAAAGATACTACACCTGGGGGAAAAGATAGCGCAAGAAACAGGTTTGGTTTTGTTTTTTTTTTAATTAAAGGTGAAGATCCGGTTAAGGCCCACAGAAGCCAGTCAGAACATTCCTTTAGTTTGAGTCATGAGTAGTTCTTACTGACACCCTCAGAGATAAGAGCCGTTTCAGTTCTCTTCCTCAGGGACCAGAGAATTTCTGCTCCTCACTGCCCGGGCCAGGTTTCTGCACGATCAGTTCGCAGAAGCCGCCACTTCAGGACAGACACCCCCTACACAAGGCAGCTCCGCTCCCAGCACAGCCCCCGCTGTCTGCCGTCCCACAGCGTGAGCTAGGACGAACTGCCGTGGTGCAAACCAAGCAGGAACCTCGCTTGTAGAAGGAGATGGGAGAAAAGCTAAACTGGGGTGTTGAGTGGTCTCCTTTTATTTTTTGTAACTAACACAAAGCTATGCAGAGAGATGCCTTTTTCCCCCCACATGAGAGCTCTGCAAGCTTCTGGACAACAAAGGGGTGTCAGCCTCAGGAACAAATGCCACCACTAAACCCAGCTTGGAGATGCCCGTGCAAAGGAGCAGTAAAATGCCATTGAGCAATGCACAATCTGGGTTCTTGTTCCTCAGCCCAAATTAAACCTTTATGGTAAATTATGTGACTTTAGCTGCTGGAATAAAATATTCTTTTTCACTTAAAAAATAGTATACCTTTGTTGGGGAAAAAAAAACACTACTGTATGTCCGACCACCCAAGTGCAGCCACAAATAATAAAACATCAGTATATTTATTTATAGTCTTTTCCCCTGTGTATAGGGGGAAAAGCCTTTAGAGACTTTTTCTTACACAGCTATAGCAATAATTAATACAAAAATTTTAATATCTAGTTGTTTAAAGATTTTCCATGCCATTATTAGAAGTTAAATTTGGTTTTTATGAATTTAGACTCGAAATGGAGAGGGTAACTAGAGCAACCCCAGCCACTGACTATACAAATGCAGTGTTCAGGTTCTGACCCTGCCCAGGGAGCGCACCCACATTTTTCTCTACACGGCACCCCTCTAGACTGAGGTCACGTGCGAGCCCCTGTCCTTCCACAAAGCCTACCTTCTCAAATAAAGCATTGACCTCATCTCTGGTTAAGGTTAGCTGAACCACTCAAAATTACATGTAGCTATCACAAGGCAGGAAAGACGCTTTTCTGAAACGAAAAGCAAAAGGTTCCTTTCTAAGTGAGAAGATAGCTGTTGGCACTTCCGTATAGAGGACTGACTCCTTGTCCTGGATGACTGGACAATGAGGACATACTACGTGTACAGTCAAACAGCGTAAGGGTTGAAGTTCTTCCTTTTCTCATCAGATGCCCTTGTTCTATAATGTTTTGATAACTGGGCAGCCGCCTGCACAGAGCAAGTGTTCCCAATCCCCATTTCTCCCAATTCTTCCCGTGAGAGATGGGAAAAACTCAACAGATCACTGAGAAAGTAATCACAGGGTGACGTCATTTTTCATTCTTGGGGTGAGGATGAGGCCGGGGCGAGGTGATCGCTCATAAAGTCCGAACAGTATAAAATACCATTTAGTCCATGTGGCTTGATCAAATATTTGACCACTTGACTTAGTGTTTCCTTCATTTCCCCACCATTTCTTCTTACAAATAAATATGTGTGTATATGATCAAGCATTGTTTGTTGGAGCTGACAATCGCCTCAGTTCTCAGACCCAGTCTTCACCTGTGGCAACCTCTCCCCAAGAGGAACGGAAAGGCGAACTCTCTTTGCCGTCCTTGCCCGGGTCACGCCAGGGCTTGGGAGGTGGCTGTCCAGGGCTGCTTCCCCCCGATGTCAGCGGATCTCTGCTTTCCTCCGGCAGCCCTCGAATTTCATTAACTCAAAATAGTGTCCTTTAATATAACCTCCTAACGTTTAAAAATAACATCGAAAATTAATGAATTGCAAGGGTTATTTATTGAATGCCTAAGAGAGAAGAATCGTGTGGCTGCTTTTGGGGGGGGGTGGAGTAAACAAACACAAGAGCTGGACTCTATTAACTGCTATCTCAAGTATTTTTCACTGGTGCTCCCCATGACTAATGACTTTCCACTACAAAATAAAAAGAAATGAAAGTGGAAGAGCAAACTTCACATTGGTTTTGTCCCTCCATTGGGCTGGCCATCGGCGATGATGTGAGACCCAGGTAGAATGTTGCTTCTTGGCGTCATCTTAAATGTTGTGCTCACCTTCAGTGTACGCGCTTCCTGGGTCTTGTCGGGGTGTCCCTAAAACTAATGCTTTGCAGAGCCTAAGTATGAACGTTTACAGCCTGTGTTAGAAAAACCTCCTTTTAGGATCTTCCTGGAAAACACAGGGGCTACTTTTCCCTTAACACATTATACATTTGCAACCTTCGCGATATACAACCAAAGCTGAAAATGGCACAGACAAAGCTAGGAGCTGATGCACGCATGTGCTGCTGTTTGGAAGCACCACTAGACATGATTTGTGCATAAATGTTTTCAGAAAAGTTCCCTCACTTATAGGACAACCACCATCCATGTTTATTTACCGTTTTAACACTAATAAAGTAAAATAAGGGCAGTGATGTTTCCCATAAAGCCATCACACGATGTTAAATAATTTTTGTAAGTTCAATTCTGTTCACCAAGATCTTTACAGTGTAGCATACTTTGTTTAAAAAAAAGAAAAAGCTAATTTACAAATAGCTTGAGCCCTTCAGTCCTGCCTGATTCATTCTTTTAATTAGCCTGAGAGATTTATAATCCACCAAAACTAAGTTATGCAATTAGGCAATTAGCCTTCTGTCTTCTTTCATATTAAAAAGAGTAACAGAGGCTGAGTCATGGCCATTGTCATTACTTAAAATTATTTCCAGTTCACAGTTTCATGCCACAACAATGGCTAATCATAATGGTTCATCATAAAACTCAGCCAATCCTGCTTCATGCTTAAATCAGACAACACAGTCAGATTATATACCACCATATAAATGTTTGACCACACACATTTTCACATGTTCTGGGATTCAGCATTTTTCTAAAACCACATTAGGTTGTTTTCAGTCATTCTGCTCTCTAACAGAGCCACTAACTCCCAGGCAGTGAGCCATTGTTCTGGAAGAAAAAGAATCAAGTCAATAAGCTAGCGGTCAAGTCCATCACTCTGTGGAATCATGTATTCAACTCAGACCTTTTGTCAACGTCAGGAGGCTGTTAAAATATGCTGTCCAAAGCTGATGAGAGAGAAGCTGCTCTTGACCACATCACGGATTTTAGGCACAGTGAGATTTGGGGCAGCCGTAGTCAGAGGCTCCTTTGACGCCACACCCCATTTGCGTGTCGTAACTGGCTTTTCAAGTGGGTCCTGCCACTAGGCCTGAGTGTGTGTGATGACTGCCTGCGCGAGAAAACCAACAGAAAGCATTATGCTCCTTGCGTCCCGACAGGAAGTCGCTGGTGTCCTCGGGCACAGGTATCTCTGTGCAAAACCCTGGTCCCGCCCCTAAAAAGGGAGATAGTCTCTTTCCTAACAAAATTAAGCACCCTTCCACAATTTACTCATCTGTAATGACAAGAAGGGGAAAAATGACATGAACAAGCATAGTACAAGATCTTTTTATTTTTTATTTAATAAAAAGTCTCGCCCTGGCTGGTGTGGCTCAGTGGATTGAGCACAGGCCTGGAAACAACAGGGTCACCTGTCCAATTCCCAGTCAGGGCACACACCTGGGCCTGGGTTGTGGGCTAGGTCCCTGGTTGGGTGTGTGAGAGGCAACCAACTGATGTTTCTCTCCCTCTCTTTCTCCTTCCCTTCCCCTCTCTCTAAAAATAAATAAATAAATAAAATCTTTTTAAAAAATAAATAAAATAAAAATTGTCTTTCCAGTAACATTCCAAGTAACCATAAATGTTTTCACTATTTGAGATGCGTGTGAAATGCTGGTGACACATTCACGAAGGTAAATGGAGTTGGTGTGAGTGTGGGAGTGAAAATACGGCTGCAAAGAATTATCCTACTGAGCCTGCCCAGTGAACAGATTTGGAGACAGAACTGGCTCATGTGTCTTGTAGCGTTCACTTTTGGTTTTCTTCTGTTGCTTAGGAAAAAACTTAGTAACTTTATGAAATTACAAATCTGTATAAAAATGAGAAAACATGATCCCTACATTAAAGTAATACTATGGAGTTTCAGATCATTCAGGCATATTTCAAGTTCAAAGTTCAGGACTCTGATTTTCGACCCTTTTCACCAAACAATAAAGTGAAAGTCCTTTTGTGAATCATTCACATTAGCTGCCTTTGTGTTCCCGACTTTAGCCTTTCTGGGCCTAAACAAGAAGAGTTCTTTAAACACAGAACAATGAAATCATCACAATAAAAAAAGGAGGTTTCTATAAATGTTATTGCCAATTTCATAAGTACAAAGAGTTTTTTAATTCTTATTTTTTCTAAAGTTAAGTTATAACTTAATCCACATAAAGAATTTTGGGGGTTTGTTGTTGTTGTGGGTATTAAGAAAAAACAACTTTTACCTTGGATTAGTTAATATGATTCAATATAGTTACAAATAAATGCTCCCCTTCTGGCTGTTTTATTCCTCCATTCCCTAAAATGGGAGAGAATCTTATTAAAATATTAATAGGAGATAAAGCAAATGTGAGTTCTACTTGAGAAAATGTTAAGTGGAACAGTTTTTCGAAGCTGAAAAACCCCATTTCTGACCCGAAACTTCTCTACTCCAATGAGTCATGAGAACTTTCTAAAAGATGTGGGTACTGAATTATTTTGTAATATTTTAAATAAGGTCAATTCCTTTGCACCTGAACATTGGGTCGATGAACACAGCACACGTAAATGTCGCGGACAATGCCGGAAGGTCTGTAACTAACCCCTCCTGGAACGCTGCCGCGAATCTGTTGGTGGGGAAAGAAGACGTAATGAACCGCGGGATGCTGTCGGCCTGCTCACTAACGGCTCTGTTCTGCACTCTGTGGCCCTGTGTATCTTGTCTGCCATTGTACAGGAGTTCAGACCCATTGGTACCGGGCACAACAGGAGGGCCCAGCCTTTTGTTGCAGCTGCAAACCTTGATGACAAAAGACAGGTAGTGAGCGCCTCCTATAACTCGCCCATTGGGCTCTATTCAACTAGCAATATTCGCGACGCGCTGCACGGACAGCTGCGGGGCCTCCTTCCTAGCTCGCCGCAACCGTAAGTATCGGACTCCGCCTCCGGCCGCCGCGCTGCGCCGTGATAGCCGGGTTCTTGTCCTTTCAGCAGTCCAGCTCTTGCTGTTTTGCTTTTACTTTCCTGAAGGCGCGATCAGGTTTTTATTTGAAAGGCAAGCCCTAGAGCACGGTTCCAAAACGCCGGTTCCCGGTTCCACATCGCAGCCCTCCTCCTTAGTCATGTCGATGTCTGGTGGTAAACGATCCGCTCCGTGCGGTCACCGTGCATCCGGCTGCAGCTGCAAGCGGAGGCTGGCCGTCCACTGAGGGGCTTTTTAACCCTTTGTCTTCACAGGACGTGAACTACTTCGAGCACAAGCACAACATTCGGCCCAAACCTTTCGTAATTCCAGGCCGGAGCAGGTCATAAGCTTTGAGACTGTGCAGTGTGGGGTGCATGCTTCTTGAGTAAACCCTACTAATCACCAAGGAAAGTAACGCGTAGGTGTTTGGAGTGACTTTTTTTTTTTCATCTTGAAGCTTATTTCGAAAGCAAGAGTAACAAACTCAGGTAGCAGAGTACAGCGCCAACTAACCGCCATTTCCGAGAGTAAACACTGACAAGCTCAGAGGGTTTGAAGTGTAGTCCGGTCACCATGTTATTTATAACTAGTACCCCTGAGGATCCCGTCCAGAATGCAGCGACCTTTGAGGCAGGCAGGCGCACACCATCCCAGCTCAGGAAGGCCCCGGCCAGCAGGAACAGAACTGGAAACCAGCCCTCGCATGGGAAGCAAAGAAGCAGGTGGGGCACAGGTGGGGATGCTGGTGCAACTTTATAAGTTAGACAGACGCGCATCATCCCACCTCCACCTGCCCCTCATTCCACCATCGGAGCCCACCGGGCGGTCCCCTTCATTACAGCCACTACGTAAAAATCAACTCTCATGGGTACTTGCAAAGGAAGAGAGGCTCCTCCAAAAGGAAATTCTCCAACTGGGGGAAGATAGGTACTACCTCCCAGACAGAGCTGGGAGGGAGGGATACAGACTGGTTGCCCCCTTGGAAAACTGTACACACGCTGGAACAATCAGCAAGCCTCCCTGCCGCCCACCAGTCAGAGAAACAGACCATCTTCAGAGGCTCCCATTCAGACACCTTCTCTCTGAACTGACTCCAACCTCCGAGGGAGGAAATCGGTGCCCTGTTTTACGGCACCAGGAAACGGCGGCTTCAGGCACCTCCCGCCCACCCCTCTGCCCCTCGGCCGCATCAGGCAGCCCAGGGGAGGGGCGGGGGCGGTTCCGCTGCGCTGTCCTAACAGGTTGGGAACACAGAGTGATGGCCTGTGTCAGGCTTCCCAAACTGGGGGGCTGTAGGTGGATTCGTTCACAGACACTGACTTGTTTAACCCTTTGATCGTCTCAATGAACTTAGGTCCTAGTGCCTTTAAGATGGAACATGTACACTCCAGCCTGTCCAGATACATGCCCATCCCTCCCAGTGTATGATTCCTGGCCCGTTTTCATGTACGTGGGGCCCTGCTGGCCCCTGGGGACACATGCGTTTATGCGGCCTGCTGAGGTTGGTCAGTCGTTACTTACATGAGATGTCCACATGCAGGTCTTTCCAGAAGCTAGAGTCAGAAGCAGATTACCTCAAAATAAGCCAGGCGATTTTGTGACCTGACTCGGAAAGAGCAGCAGAAAGATGCTAAGAGGGCAATTATTACAAAATACATCTGCCCCCCGCCCAGAAAGGGAGCACACTGCTAGATCCCCACCACCTACAAATGCAGCTGGCACAGGAAACGCCCGAGTGCTCATCAGCTGCAGGAACCGAACTCGAAGAGGGCCCGAGATGTCCCGAGTGGCGCGGAGGACCAGCAGCTCTGATCCTCCCCCCCCACCTGCAGCCCCGCCCAGTCCTCCTGTCCTTCTCTTTGTCCGTCCCCATTCCATTTCTTCTGCGGCTTTTCCCCGTTTCTCCGTATTCAACGGCTTCCCAAGCCCATTCCCGACAAGGTAACAACGCTCCATTAAAAGTTGAATGTTATTTTACTATTGAATACATACACAAACATCTCCCTGAAGAAGCACAGTTAACCACACAGCCCTGCATTCTTCTGAGGCCGGCACAACCGCGTGCGCTAGGGAGCTGCAGGACTGCCAGGGGCTTCAATAGAAGGACGCACCGGAGTAGCATACCTCTTGCCTTTGCTAAAGACCAGTCACCTTTAATTTTATAAAACTTCAGGGAGAAGCAGGTCAGGGAGATGCAGGTATGGGACAGACACCCTTCTTTCATACGTAGGGTGGAGTAAAAGTAGATTTACAGTTTTGAGCACGTGAAACACAGAGTTCATTCTTGTATTATTATTTATTAATTATTGTGTTATTTTCCTTATGAACAACTGTAGCCTACTTTTGCTACATGAGAGTAAAACGTACTTTCATTTTAATTCAACTATGGCGATGATAACAAGACCACCCATAATTTTGTCACTGTAAGGCACCTTTCAGTATAGCTGCATTTGGAAGTGGAGAGAGGAGAAACAGGGATGAAAGGTTTGCTTGAAAAACAGGTACCAGGATGCAAACCTTAAAGAATTGTAAAAAGGCCTCCACTATCCCTCCTACCTTCTTGTGTCCCCTCCGTTTGCCCCAGCTCCTGCGTGTCCCATTCTCACTAAGTGATTCTTCATCAGGATGGGATTTTGGGTGGCTATATACCAAGCTAGAACTATACCATTAATGACCACCTTTCTGATCAGAAGTACATTGGAAAGACTAAATTGTATGTTAATCTCCCTAGCATCTTACTACTGGTTACGGTTCTTTTAATTATTTCATCATCATTGAAGCATATGAAAAAGCCGGTATTTTCATACGCAAACATGTAAATTTTTAAAGCCACAGCTACCATCAAAAATATACACAAGGGATTTTATAGGTGCAAATGATAAAATACAGTTCCTGTGAGTGGTTTTGGACAAGTCGCTTCCAGAAGCAGGCCCCCGAAAGTCTGTGCACAGGCCAGAGAAATCAGTTCTCTCTTTAATGGTCTATCCAGCAGTGAAGTGATGGAGTGTAGCATCAACTTCGCAGGTGGCCTTGCCCAGTCAGTAAGTCAATGTCAAGAAATCTCATTAGCACCTACTGTTCCAAGTCACAGAAGTAGGTCACGGTGACCCAAGATGAGGTTCACAGTGACTGAAGCCCATGAAAAGTTTTTTGCAAGCATTAGTCCAAAAGACCTTTTAAAATTGCCCCAGAAGTTTATAAAAAACTAATTCTTGCTAGCTTAGAGTTTATTTCCTATCTACTTAATAAACAGGGGCCCCTAAATAGCATGAGAAAGACATTAGGAACTAGAACACAATCTTTGCTGAAATAAAGTCACATACACAAACGTGCCTGTATAAAGAACACTAACGACAGAAAAAGGTGACTGATTACAACTATAAAAAGGACTATCTCTAAGTTCCGAGCTGACCCCAGTTTACCCACTGCCTAGCACTTTGCCTGACGCATGGGAAGGTTGGAGTAGTTCTAAATGCTTATTGAAAGGGTTCATTATTTTCAGCCCAAGTCTGCCAGGACTTCACTCGTTTCAGATCCCCAAATGACCATTTGATATGCTTCATGACACTTAGATCCAATCAAGAAGATCCTGACCAAACTGCGTTACAACCAAAATCTGACTTCCGTCCTTTCCCAGCTGAAGGCGATTTCAGGCGCCAGAGCAGCACCGAGCCTGCGGAGACGGAGCACAAGGCCCTGGGCGTGCGGTGCACGATCCAGAAATTCACAGATTTTTAACGGGGTCTCAAGCCCTGGAGGGAAGGAGTGAGTCCATATTTACCTGCCTGCTTTAGGCTCTACAGGTGGTTGACTTGAGTACAACGAGACCCAAAATAATGTAGTCCAAAAATGTAGTCCATGTAGTGACCAGGGCTGTCCGGACGGATCAGGCTGTGACACTGAGGGAGCCGGCAGAGCCAGTGGCCCCACTCACCCTTGTGGCCCGTCCCGCCTGCAGGGGCCAGCGTCAGACCAGCAGCCCTAACAGCGGTCAGTGCAGGTGCGGTCACGCTTGAGCACAAAGAGAATCCTGACGTCGACAGAAACACACCATAGACATTGTGGTCTGTCTTGCGTTCACAGCAACACTAACCTGCGGGCCTGACAGAGTTTGCTTTAACACTAACATTTCTTCTGGCTTTGTCTTCAATGGCTGTGCTGCTTTAAAAAAAAATCTCAGTATATTTCATTTTCTTGCCAAGTGCCTTTCTCATGCTGCACGGAAAATGCACGTGGAAAAAGGACTTTCCAGTCCTCAGCATGGCAGTGGCGATCTGCCTCCGATGCAGCTTCAGGGAGAAGGAGAGACCTCCCTGGCTGTTCCGAAGGCTGCATGGCTGGTCTGTCTGATGGTTTAGTAACAAGCCCCCTCAGCCTGACTGTAGAAGGAAATGGCACCTGTGCATGAGTATATGAGTGTTTTGGAAAGTTTACATGAAATGGCCATGCATGGGAGAAATATATCTCAGCCCTGGGTGGCGTTCCAAGAGTCTGAGACCACCTTGTTTGCTCATCACGAATGTCAAGGTGACAAGCATGTGTTGGCTGTTCTGGAACCTGTATGAAACCAGTGAACGATTCTTAAAAGCATATTCCTCACAAAATTAAAGAATGAAAGTAGGAAAAGTTAACACAGTCAAAACGTTTACAAGTCTATCGCCTTAAAACATAATCTTAATCATATGACCTACGTGTTTCTAATTACTGTTCAACTAAACTAAACTGCATTTCTGAAACATAGTTATTTTGAAATGTTGAGCCTAACTATTTAATGGGATCTTCACATGGCATATCCAGTTTACTCTTTGTATAGATCATTCATTAATCTTTTAATTTTAGGTACTGCACCTCAGAAACGTAAAAGGATGCCTGGCCAATGTAATTTCCCTGTCCCATTAGTCTGTGACAATTGTCAAGTTTAAAATTATCTGGCCTATTTTTAAAAAGTGAATATGGCCACATCTTTTCTACTTGATAGACAACTTGTTTACCTGTAACCTTCAACTTACATATCACATGGTAGAACAGAGCCAAAAATGCGACATCACCTGTACCTTTAATCATTGGGCGACGCTTCTTCCCATCCTGAATGTTGAAATGCCCTCCTTCTTGAAAAGAAATGGCAGCCAGAAGTCTGCATGTCGTTTTATTTTGGTTCCACTCACTTCTTACTTCCCGTCTTCCACCCCTTTTAACCTCTCCGCACTTGTTCTCTGTACCCCCACCCCTACCCCCACCCCCGTCTGGTTTCTGCACTCCCTGCGCCGTCTCGGTCTGACGCGGGCACCGACACAGTGCATGCAGCACGCCGTCCGGCATCGACGGCAGCAGCGGACGGAGCACCCCTTCTTCTGTCAGCACCATTAGCAGTATTTGCCCGGGCGACTTGAAAGTGGCCGCTAAGATGGCCCCTAACATTCCTTTGGAAATGGAGCTTCCTGGTGTGAAGATTGTGCACGCCCAGTTTAACACACCCATGCAGTTGTACTCAGAGGACAATATTATGGAGACACTGCAGGGTCAGGTTTCGACCGCGCTAGGGGAAGCCCCCCCGATGAGGTAATGCAGGTCTTTTCCGATCACGGGCATGCTAACCACACACAGGCAGTGCCAGCGTTATGGGTGTCTTCTTGCATTGTCTCACATGAAAGCTGCGGGAAGAGCTTTAAAGGAAGGACAGTAAATATTTTTTTGCAAATATCTAGGCCTCATGATGAAGATGATTTGAAGAATTAACCTAGAGCTTTATGGGACCGATCATAACAAACTGAAATCACGGAAGGACCAAATGTACTATATGCGTGTTGTGAAAAGTTACAATGTAGTTGGCAAATGTCTGGTATAATACTTCTCAAAAGGGATTAATAATCTAGTATACTCTATGTTTCTCCTCTTTGGGGGTCCAAAATTGAGAAGGGGTGGGAGGTCCAGAGGAGTTTTAAAAGAGATGATACTCTTCTAATGGCATCTTGTGGAGAGGGAATTATTTTTCCATTTAAAATGCCTGCCATGAATAAGGGTTTATAAGTGATTATCTCAAGCTATTAATGTAGATATTTAGTTTCCAAAGGTCTCTATTTTGACTAATTTGTTCTTTAGTATAAATATGTGTTCAAAGTACTTTTGCCATCAAGTTTTCTCCAATTATAAAAAGGTATGAGAAACTCATATTACTTTTTTCAATATTACAGAACCACTTGTTATAAATTATAGTAGTATAATGGTTAAGAGTGCTCTGTAACAATATCCCAAAGCTATCTCTTGGGATGAATACAATGAGATAATAATAGCATACTGTAGCTCAAGGCCATTTTGCAAGGAAATTCAGATATTAAATAATTATTTCCACATATGATATAGGTAATAAAATTATGTGTGGATAGCAACTACCTTTTCTAGATAATGCAATTAAATGACATAAAATAATAAAGCATTTTGTGCCTGACATGTAGTTTTACTGTGGCATGTTTAATTGCCCATCATGAATATATCTGTAGACAGTTTATTAAAATAAAGCTTCTATTATTGTTGTAAGTGAATTATAATGTGGCTGTTTAGGAGATGTAGTGTAGTCAAAATAACTCACATGTATGTGTAAGTTTCTATATTATATGCTTGCAAACACTGGCAATTTGAATTTCTTCAATTTACAAGCAAAGTGATACCTTTGTTTCCAGGAGTTAACACAGCAAGTTAATCTTAAAAGCAAAATTAATCCATACACTTTCCGTGTAGTATCAGAAAGGAATCTGAATTTAAGGACAATTTTATGCCAATAACTGAGCGGGGCTCACTCCTGCACTTTCTCTCCCGTCTTTTTTCTGAGAAAAGGTTGATTGTGTTCCTATTTATAATTATACACCCATCAGCCACAAGTCTTTTTTTTTTTAATTACTATTACCTAATATTTTAGTTGCCTTCCGAAGTATTTGGCCAGATGGAGAAGTGCTGAGCCCCGCGGTTAACTAGTGACATTTCTAAGGCAGCCCATAGGAGTCAGCGTTATTTGTCGGCCAGGACAGGGATGAACGCGGCAATACCGCGTCTCCGCGCAGGAGTCGCTGCAAACACAGGGATCACTGTCCGCTGATGTCTTGTGGCTTCTTGCGCGCGTGCTGCCTCGCACGCTCCTGACGCTGCCCCGCTGCCACGTTGCGTTTCAGCGAACCCACAGCCTCGGTGCCCCCGCAGTCGGACGTGTACCGCATGCTCCACGACAGCCCGGACGGACCCGCCCAGCCCCGCCAGTCCGGCTCCTTCCGGGTGCTCCAGGAGCTGGTGGACGACGGCCCCGGTGAGTGGCCCGGAGCGTCTGCTGTGCGGCCAGAGCCCGCTGGCAGGCCGCGGGGAGTGGAGGGCGGCAGGCAGACTGGAGAAGGAAGCCTCAACACGGATTTTATCCAGAGGCCAAAGGCATCTTTGCCCCAAAGGACTTGGGGGCATGCCTGGTTTAGGAAAGGAGCTTCCAGAGCATGACCAAGTGGCCAGCAAATGGGCAGGAAGGCACCCAACACAAACTCCATCTGCAGTGGTCGAGGGCTATCTGAACTTGCACATTTTAAACAGAGTTTTCAGTGGACACTGCAGAATTTCTCAGCTTTCCCATACTCCAGAGCTTCATCATCAGAATTTAAAAATAACGTAACGAGCCCTCGGTAGGTTCCAAATTCTGTGCTACATCCCTTGCATGCATTATCATTTAACCCTCACAAAAGCCCTGAAGTAGGAGCTATTATTCTCCCTGTTTAACAAATGAGAAACTGAGGCACAGAGAGGGCGGTCTTGTGCGAAGTCACACAGCCACTAAGAAGCAAAACTGGGTCTGCAGCCTCCTCCTACTGTCTACAGGGCTCACACTCTTATCCATGTTTTTCCACCCCCAAGAGATATGCACTGTCCTTCCAAAGGTGCACAAAAATGCAACATGCCCCCTTAGGATGGCTATCCTCAGAAAGAAAGGCAAAATAACAAGTGGTGGGAGGATGTGGAGAAATGAGAACCCTTGTACGCTGCTGATGGGAAGGTAAAATGGGGCAGCCACTGCGTGGTGGTTCCTCAAAAAGTTAAACACAGAGTCACCCCACGACCCAGCAATCCCCCTCCAGGGCACACCCAAGAGAACTGAAGGTGGGGAGTCAGACCCGTGCACACCGACGCCTGTAGCAGCATTATTCACCACAGCAGGAAGGTGGCGACAACCCAAATGTCAGTTGATAGATGAATGGATAAACAAGATGCACGTGGTGGAGTATTATGCAGCCTTAAAAAGGGAATGAAACTCTGACCCACGCCGCAACATGGATGAACCTTTAAAACTTTCTAAGCGACATGAGCCAGACACAGACGGACAAATGCTGTGTGATTCCACTTACACGAGTGTGAGGTTCCTAGAGCAGACAAGTCGCAGAGACCAAAAGTGCCACGGAGGTTGCCATGGTCTAGGAGGAGGGGGGGACAGGGAGCTTTTATTCAATGCATACAGAGTTTCTGTTTGAGATGATACAATATTCTAAAAATGGATATAAGCAATAGTTTTATGACATTGTGAGCACACTTAATGCCACTGAACTATACCCTCACAATGATTAAGCTGGTCAGTTTTATATTATGTATATTCTACCACAATAAAAAAAATGCCAATGTTCTCTGCTCCTTTAAACATGTTGTAACAGCTCTCCGTGACAACAGAAGCTGTGGCCGAATTCTGTTTTGCAGGGCCCTACTTCAGAACCAGGCATGCGTGAGCGGCTCCTACTCCTTTTGACACGAGACTGGGCGGCAGCTTAAGAGTTCCTTGGGTGAAAGGGCACAGCCCAAAATAGAAGCGACGTGCAAGCTGGAGCCAGCTGTTCCTCTGCCGTAAATGGAAACACTTTGTTTTTCAGATGACCGCCCTGCGGGGACTCGGAGTGTGAGAGCTCCAGTTACCAAAGTCCACGGTGGCGCTGGCAGCACGCAGAAGATGCCACTCTGTGACAAGTGTGGGAGTGGCATTGTGTAAGTGTCTCTTTCTCTAAAGATGTTATGTGTTTAATTTTTAGAGAGGGGAAGGGAGGGAGGGAGAGAGAGAGGGAGAGAAGCATCAGTGTGTGGTTGCTTCTCATGCACCCCCAACTGGGGACCTGGCCGGCAACCCAGGCATGTCCCCTGGCTGGGAACTGAACTGGTGACCTTTCACTTTGCGGGACGACACCCAACCGATTGAGCCCCACCAGCCAGGACTAAGTTTCACTTTTAACCCAGGAATTCCCTACAAACCTTGGTAACAGCTCTCTATTTCTATTCATTGACTTGAAACCCAACATCCACCACATATCATATTTTGACCAGAATTCCTTAGATATACCCTAAAATGGACACATAATGTAAGTCAGCAATCTTGACTTGTAATTTCAGACTATTCTCATGGGGAAAAAATTGCCCAGAGGACACGCCCAGAGTAAAATCATGTCCAAGAAATCAAACCTTCCCTTCAAGAAGCACCCCCTAAGGCACAGAGGCTTTGAGTAGTTCCTTTTGTGTATAAACCCAGGGAAACAAACACAGCAGCCGTCAGGATGTTAATGAGACACATGATCTTTTCCAGTTGGGGCTCTGGAGTTTAAGCTGCACAAATATTCCCACATAATTTCTAAAAACGCAGTCAGCTCCCGTTTTGAGGGTCCCTACGTTGGAATGCCCACTCCTGCTAGTTCACGTGACCCCAGTCATCCCCAGCTCTCCGCGCAAGTGCCCCACGTGGCCACTTCTCCCGTCCCTTCGTGCCGCCCTGCTGCCCTGAGCTCCCCCACGGAGGCAGCAGCCGTCCCGGTATCCAGGGTCCACCCCGGAGGGCAGTGGGTCACAGCAGAGGGGAGGGTGTGGGGCAGAGAGAAACGGACTGGACAGGCAGCTCAGGAGGTGAGAGGGCCTCCTAAAACAGGACAGTTTGTGAGGTCAGCACAAAGCAACTCTCACTCCTAAGTGGTGCCAAACTGCTGTGACAGTAGGGGCACGTTCCCGCCCCACCCCTGCTACGAGAATGCCCCCTCTGCGCTCTGGTCTGGTTTTTCCCTGCTGCACAGAGCGGAGGCTGGGCCACCAGTGCACAGAGGATCAGAGGGACTTTCAGTTGTGTGGACCAGTACCGGTCCAGGCCAGCTAGGAACAGCCCCACCCAGCAGGAGGAGAGCTTGAATGTCATGTGCTTGAATCATCCCTAAACCATCCCCCATCCCCAGTCCATGGAAAAATGGTCTCCCACGAAACCAGTCCCTGGTGCCAAAAAAGGCTGGGGACCGCTGGGGAAGACAACATCCTTGGTGAGAATCAGAACCCTCTGCAGAGTCACGGCTCCCTCTTTCAGAGAAACAGTGGGGAGAGATCATGAAGGAAGAGCATATAATTTTCATGTCAGCGACTTGTCTGAAAAGTCTGAAAAACATTCACATCAGAGAGAGAGGTGGGACGACTGGTTCAGTCTGGCTGACTTGCGTCTCCCTGACAACTGCATCAGTGTCACCGCTGTGGCCCAAATTATACCGCTGGAGGCCCCGGTTTCCTGAATGGGAAACAGACAACCACCTGCCCGATCGGCAGGTGTCACCTTTGTGCCGGGGTTGGGGCTCTGCAGTTTTGACCGGATCTCCTGTTTCTCCGCAGCGGGGCAGTCGTGAAGGCGCGGGACAAGTACCGGCACCCGCACTGCTTCGTGTGTGCAGACTGCGGCCTCAACCTCAAGCAGAAGGGCTACTTCTTCGTGGAGGGCGAGCTGTACTGCGAAGCGCACGCCAGGGCGCGCACGAGGCCCCCAGAGGGCTACGACACAGTCACTCTCTACCCCAAAGCTTAAGTCCCGGGCAGACCGGAGCCCCACGTACCCCCCCACGCACCCCCCCACGCACGCACGCACGCACGCGCACTGATACGGGAAGGCAGTAATGACTTCGGGCAGAAGTAGAGCACACTGCGGAGGCCAAACCTAAAACCGAGGCTCTTAGGTGTTTATCTTATTGCGTGGGAGGCCGATGCTTGCTACAGCACAAACATGCTTTCAGCTCCGTTTTGCAGCTCTTTTCCTCTTCGGGGCGAGCGATAACCGAATGACATTTAAACCGATCATGTTTTTTTGTATGTCGTGTTTCACAATTTAAGGTTTATACGATGGCCATCAAACACGTAAACATCACGCTATTTCGGGGAGTCTGTCTTTCCCTAAGAAGTTGATTTAGCGATTGTAGTCAATACCCAACGACGTCTTGTATTCTGAGGCAACCTGCAGCTGTCTTGTTACCTGCTTTAACCATGAAAGTGCATGTCAGGGAGAAATTCCCCGGACTTCTCTAGTTTCATCTGCAACAATTGTACCACTGGATGCAACATGCACAAGAAACACATAAAACGTTTTAAAAATACCTAACGCAGTGCCACTCCACGAATTCAGCCGAAACCAACATTCCAGTGAGAGGACCCATTCGTATGTACCGGCTCGGGTATTTTAAGAAAATGTGGCTTCCTTGGCTTGTAATACTCATTTACTCTTTCTTAGGTGCCCACAGCTCCTGATGATAGGAGGGGCATTTAAGTTTGCTAGCTGAAGGTAATGCGGTCTCTTTCAGATTAAAACAGTTTCTTTTGCTTTGAAATAGTCTCTTTCATTTTAAATGTCTCTTTCAGATAAATAGTCAGATTCAAGGGTCAGACTCCATGAGGGCTGTTTCTTTGTACTCGGAGGTTGTTCGCCACCACCTCCTCCTCCCCAAGTTAGGACCCCCAAGAGGAGACAGTTTAGGGGGCCTCCTGAAGGAGGGAGGGGCTTCTGGTCCCCTGGGGTCCAAGGTTCCCTACACCAGTCTGTTTTCTGGGCATAGTTGGGACCAGGCAATAACCACACCCCTACCAACACCTCCAAAAGCAGAGGCTCAGCCTTCCCTGGCGTCAGGCTCGACCTCCTGGAAAGTTCTGGCCTGTCCTACGGCAGGGCTGTGACAATGCCCCTGGCACGTCTTGTCTGTTTCCCACGCTCCTCACTGGGGACACACGGGAACGTCTGCAACTGTCCCCTCCCAGGAGGAACATGGGGAGCCAGCAGAGTGGGGAGGTGGAAACCGTCTCTTGCTCCCTTGCCTCGTGACCTCGTCACGAAGTCGCCTCCAGCCTTCTGCAGATGCTGTCCGTGGGTCTGGAGCAAGTTTTCTCCTGTCGTCCGAGGTGAGAGATAGGGCACGAGTGGTACTGCTCTGGGATTCTCCCAAACGCCACCAATATCCCTGACCCTGACCCTGACCCTTCCCAGGTTTTGACCCAGTGGGAGGGGCCAGAACACCCACCTGGCAGCTGCAGGCCTTTGAGTTCGCAGTCGGAACCCATGCACCCAAAACAGAAATTCACTAACAGAGCTACAGAAATAAGAAATTTGGAGGTCAAAGACATGAATGGGTCTACAATACATTACATGTTTGGCTCAGATGCTATTTTAAAGTATTTTGATGTGGGAAAGACACAAACTTAAAAATTTGGAAGCTAGACAGCATGATAACTGACCCAGAAAACCTGAGAAAGTTACCATCCAAAGCAGCAGTGGAGAAAACTGAAAAGCAACCCAGTTCCCCCTCCAGAATCGTGAAAAGGCGTGGGGATTGGCGGGCTGGAAGGTAAAGGTGGCGTTGCTACTACGAGGCGACTGTAAAAGCTGTGTGGGGGCACCTAACCCCGGGCTGTCACACACTGTCACACACCCCAGGGCGCGTCCCAGCGGAAGTCTGTGCCATAGTGTCCGCAGAGGTTACCCCAGCCCCCCTGACACGGGCGGCCGCAGGCCCAGTGGGGAGCACGTGCACCCCACTGAAAAGGGGTTGCACGCTAAGGAAGAATGAAAGACTCGGGTTGACCACAGCCTTCAGCTGCTCCCCGTCAGTCAGCGGCACAAACAGAGCCCTCGTCTGACCCCAGCGCCTCGTTCGGGAGCAAGGGCATCCCCAGGGCTTCGGTCTGTCGCGGCCAAGGGCGGCTCTGGGTCGTCTGCGCAGGATGCCAAACCTCCGCAAGTCGGGGAGACTGTTAATCCCCTGGCGGCCTGGGCCGAGCCGTGCCCACTGCCCTGCTCTTCACGTCCCCTTCCCAGCTTGTTTTTCCCACTCAGCCTCTCTCTCTCTCTGACTCCCTCCCCTCAGCGTGCAGACATGCTCAGAAACTCTAACCGTGCTAAGAATATCTCTCCCTCGAACACCTGTGCCTGCTCAGGCTCCCTCCTATTTCTCTATGGTGATCCCTTCAGCACACCCAAGGACTTAAGAGTTAGACCAGCTCGACTCTCTCAGTATCCCCACCACGCTGCTATTAATAAGCCTTCTTACAGTGGCATTCAGCGCCTTGAGGGCCAAAGCTGCTGGCTGCCCTTGGTGAGCGGTGGGCGGATTCCCCTGCACAGACATGAGCGGGTGACAGCGACCCCTAGAGGACACTTACAGAAGGCTGGGTGTGGAGGTCAGGTCCTTGAGCAGCCGGTGGCCCACGACCCACCCAAGACTTTCTGTCGCCAGCACATACGGCTCCCCCCTCGCCCCCGCCCCCGCAACCAAAGCGCTAGCCTTAGGACAAATGCCCCAATTTGTTACATCCCAGGAGTGGTTTGGTTATTTTTGCATATACTACAGATCTCAGCTGTGATTAAGGAGAGCCTTGCCATCTCAGGATTCAAGACCTTCTGCAGCTAAAAAACCCAGAAGCATTCTAGTCGGCCGACACGCGGCTAAGAATAGCCTCGCCCAGCTTGTTTGGGTGCAGGGCTCACGCACCGCGTGCAGAGCCTCGGCCCCGCAGCTGTCGGTCAGCAGGTGAAGACGCATTCTCCGCGAGCAGCTACCGTTCGAAGATTCGGACACCGCGTGACTCAGAGATGTTTTTTCACGGGCAGCACAGCCTTCATTAAATTCTGTCCTTTAGCAATGAACTTCACAATCAAGGAAAACTGAGACACTGTCAGGGCAGCGGTGGGACGGCTGACGCATGTGGCCGGCCAAGGCGCAGCCCACGACGGTCCGTCTGCTCCGAGGCCGAGCGGACGGGCAGCAGCCGCTCCGCGCTGAGAACGCCGTGCTGGCCAAGCGTGAGGTCACATCGGGAAACAGGAACTTTCAGCTCTAGCATTCATTGTGTTTACCTCCTTACTCTTGTAAAACTTAGATGAAATGCTGTCCTATCACCTAAAACTGTAATTCATTGCGGGGGCGGGGGGGGGGGGCATTAAAACAAACTGGTCTGGGCAGAACCAGGGTCTCAGAATCAGGAAGCCAGCACTGCCCAGTTTACGGAGGGTTTGGAAAGTTCCCAACCTTCCCACGCGGCGGTTTTCCCCAACGCAACTCTGGGCAATGTAAGCAAGAATATTTCACCAAAAGCTCAAACACTGGGATCCTAATTACGGCAGAAGTGGAGGAAATTTAACATCCCCCAGAGAGAGCGCCTGGATTCTAAACTTTGTCTACTGGTTTGAAGTGGGAGCGGGAGCAGGCACAGGCGGCCCCAGCAAGCGCAGTGCACATTTTGCCAGACTTCTCTGAACACCAGCGACCCGTCCTTTCCATGCGTCAAACACCTGCGTGCTGTCGAAGATGCCGAGTGCCCCACGGCAGGCAAAGAGCCTGGGAGGGTCGCAGAGGCCCCGGGCTGCCCCGCGGTCTCACTCGGGAGAATGCAGTTTTCTCCATCCTGGAATCTGAAGAAACTTTCCCTACATTCCTCCCTTTGTCTAATTCTAATGTATGTTCTTAGCAAGCAAATAATCATCTTCCTCGACTTGAGCAACTTGGCAATGAGGAACTTCAGGGTCAAGGAGGTAGAAGGAGGGCACCCGTAAGAACAACATATCTTACAACGTCTTCAAGTAGACAGCTGGTGTGGGAAACTATGTCCTTCACAATAAATGGGGGGTCAAGAGGATACCCATAAAAAATGGACACTGACACCCGCCTCAGGCTCTATGAAAATCAACTCCGGATGAACAGTGAATCTAGACATGATGGTGAAACAATTCAGCGCTTATAATAAAGCACGGGAGAACCATCTCCTGGCCTCGCAAGGACAGACGTTGGTGTCCAGTCCCAGGGAGGGAAAGGAGAGCGCCCACGGGTGGGGAGCGCGGAAACCAGAGGGCAGAGCAGAGCGGGGTGTGGAGCGAGGCCCTGCGGGGCGCTGGCTGCTGTGTGGTTTCAGAGCCCAGGGAGGACGTGCGGGTCTTCTCCGCAGAGAGGAGGCCCACAGCGGGTGACAGAGCTCAAGGGGGGTGGGGAGTGTGTCTGGGAGGAGGGGAGGCCCAACACGGGGTCCAGAGTCTGAAGGCGGGGGAGGGAGTGTGCAGGGTACTGGAACCTAAAGGGGAGGGCCCGGGGCTCCTCGTGGATCTAGGGTGAGGGCCTGGCATTGCCCACGTAAGTAAATAGATAAAGGACAATGAGAGTCAACTTTCTCACCGTTGGCAGGGGAAACCACACCCACGGGGACGATCAGACGGGAAACAACGCGGTGATGTCAGATGGGAACTGGAGGCATCGCGAACTCATGGCACTCAACGTAGATAAACAGATACAGAAATAATAAGGGTGCGCATGTGTGCCTGTGTGTGTGATGTACACACACACACACACGCAGACACACACACACAGACATTCCCCAGCTCCCCGCTGAGGTGGTCTGAGGGCAGCTACACCCGGAGGGCAACAGGCACGCCTGGCACTCACACCCTGGCTGCTACAAGCCCTCCTCCCCTGAAACAAACACAGGCTCCTTGGAGAAACGGCCAGTGTGCAGGCTGGGGCTGGCAGAGTGCGGGAGGGGCCTGGGGCGGCTGGGCACGCCAAGGAACGGAACACGTGCTCCGGCAGCAAAGGCCAGGTGTCGAAAGCACACAGAAGCCAGCTCAAGGAACCCCACGGCCCCAGTTAGGGGGATGTGGGCGGCCACAGAAATCACGTCCACGACAGAAGATCACCCACTCTGACCCACTGAGTAAGACAGGAAGTGCTGAGCCCACGAGCTGAGCGAAGAGACCCGGCACAACAGCCACACGCGTGCGGGATTCTGGGCTGGATCCTTTTGTGTTAACAAAGGACATCACTGGGAGGACGGGGGAAGCTTCAGTGGGGTCTGAGGGTTAGATGGGATTACTGTATCAGTGCTAATCTCCAAATATTAATGGCGGTGTCCTGCCCATGCCGAAGAGTGTCTTTTTATAAAAGACACCTTAATGTGTATCCAGGAGCAATGAGACACTGTGTAGCAGTTCTGTTTTGTTTTGTCTACATTTTCCCTTCGAAATCTGTAGTGGTTGTTATTACAAAATGAATATTTACTCATTTCAAATGTTTCCTTGAAGAGCACCATTTTCTCAGCGGCACAGACGCGCTGCCACCGACCAGGCCTTAGCGGACCCAGCGCCAGCGCCAGCGCCAACGCCAACGCCAACGCCAACACCAACGCCGACATCCCTCTTCAGCGAGGGGTTTCCCCAGGTACCGGCGAATCAGGGCGCTTGGACAGAGGAGGGCCGGCGCCTCTGGGGCAGCTGTCACGTGCGTATGTTAATACATTGTGATTTTAAGTTCATTACTGGTAATGGGGTCTTCTTTTCACCATGGCAAACAGAAGTCCTTTACTGCTCTGATGGGTGGTTTGAAATTGGAGGGCGGAAACGGTGAAACAAACCATGAAGTTGTGATAAGAAAGAAGGCAAAAAGTTCCCAGGTGTTCGGTTGTCTCCAAACAGTCCCTTCCCGACACAGCGTTGGTCCTACAAGTTGTGGGTCAGCAGGGAGGGCGTGGTGAGTAGGAATGCGCCCCAGTGAGATTGTCCCTGGGTTCTGGAGAGCACGGCAAACGCTGGGACCTTCTCACCATGCAGCTGTGCCCGAAGCGGCTCCGGCGGGGCATCCCAGACGCAGGACCCCCATCCAAGCGCGCACCTTCCTCCTCCCCCTACCCCCACCCAGGCTCGTGCCCGTGTGCGCGCGTGCATCCAGGCCACCCCGTTACCAGGCAACGGGCTGCCCCAGCGCGAAGCAACTGAGCGGAATGTGTGGGGGGAGGCAGTTGGGACGAAAAGAGAGCTTGAGCAGCAGCAATGAGCCCCGGTAAGAGCCGGGACAGGGTGCCGGCCCCTGATGGGGACCCGTGGACGGTGGACGAGTGGCGGAGGGTGCCGCCTCCTCCGGACTGGCCCCTACATCCCCTAAACGGGTCCAGTCTGGAGTGTGATTTTCTTGACTCACCCCGAGAAAAGTGCCGCCTCCAGCCCTGCGCCCTGCGGTAGCTCCCAGCCACCAGTCACCGGGTCCAGCCGCCGCTGCGTGGCCCCAGCGCGCCCTCCCGTGGCCGCTTGGGGCGTCGGCGTCCCGAATCCTCACGCCTCGCCTCCCTTCTCCCAACAAAACCAAAAGCTGTGTCTGGTTCCGTTACAGAAAAGCATCATCAGGACAAGGATGAAGTTGACTGCGTCCTCCTTTCCGCATCCAAGATCCTCAATTCCTCTGAGTGCATAAAGGAAAGCGGTGGCAGTGAAACAGGTAAGAGCTCCAGGACCAAAGCTCCGAGGGCGGTGAGAAACGGTCCGCCCTTTCACTGCAGGCATCGGGTAAATGCCACAATCCACTCGCCCGACTGGGGTCCTTCCAACACATACACACTTCAGGTCACAATTATATGGTACTAATCATAGCAAAAACGGCACATTGCTTGATGTCGGATATCACTCAACGCATTTAAATGTACCAACTCATTTAATCTCACAGCAACGCTATGAAGTAGTTACTACCATTATCCCCATATTACAAGTGAGGAAACTGAGGCACAGAGAGGTTAACGAACTCCCCAAGGTCACACAGGCAGCAAGTGAGAGAGCCTGGTATTCAGCGGGGTAGGTATTCAACAACACCCTGGATGACACTGGGTCTCTCAATACCAAGTAAGAGCTGTTGACTTTTTCAAGACACTACAAAGATAATATACTTTTTCCAAAAGTTAATGCTTTCTATAGTAAACAGTGTGGACTACAGGGTGTTCAGTGGGGAGGGTGTTGGAAATGACCAAAAAGCTCCAGTTTTTCGAGCCGCACGTGAACCATGGATAAAGTGAGTGTACAGACCCAGCCAGGGGAACTGAGAACCTCAGAGTCTCCCCTTGCGGACAGAAGCCGCGGGCTGCACAGCTCTCAGAAGCGCCCGGTGCTCAGTGAGATGTGCCAGGGAAGACTGAGGCATGGGGATTCAGGATGCCAGTGCCCTAAGGACCAGATCAGCAGGGGAGACTTTGTCCCTCCCCAATCTGTTTTTCTATTTATGCTTCACTGTCACCAAGGATCCATGTCCTGAGTACTACAGACTACTGGCCTGGTTTGCATACATAAAGCTGAGTTACAAGAGCTCGTGTAGTATTTCTGAAGTCTCTTTGATTTTTTTTTAAGAAAAGGACTCTTCTTTCTAAGATTTTATTTATTTATTTACTTTTAAAGAGGGAAGGGAGGGAGAAAGAGAGAGAGAGAAACATCAACATGCAGTTGCTGGGGGTCATGGCCTGCAACCCAGGCATGTGCCCTCACTGGGAATCGAACCTGCGATGCCTGGCTCACAGCCTGTGCTCAATCCACTGAGCTACACCAGCCAGGGCTAAGTCTCTTTGATTTTAAAAGGACAAAAAATAAATAAAACCTGCATCATAAAAATAAATAAATAAAAGTGGAAGAACCAGGAATTAGCCTGGTTCATCGAGGAATCAGCCTCGATGTATTGGATGGGGATGTGAGAGAGACTTCCAAACTCCAGGGTGCCCCGTGCGTGGTTCCGAGCACCCTGCGCCCCTCTGGGCGGTCGGTCATTCCTTCAGCCAACACGTATTTGTGAGCAGGCGCTGTCCTAGGTGCTGGAGATCCAACAGTGAACAGAACACACACACACGATCCCCGGGCACTTGAAGCGTGCCTCCTCGTGGGGGTGACAAAGGGTATTATGTGTGAGATGGAAGTAAATCCTACCAGGAAAGGAAGGCAAGGAGGGGGGTAGGGGACCCAGAGGTGGGTGGGGAGTATGCAATTCTATTTCAAGTAGGGCAGGGGCAGACCTCACTGAACAGGGGACTTCTGAGCCGAGAGGCGAAGAGAGGAAGGAGGATTCAAGGCAGATGTCCCGGGTGAGGGCATTCCAGGCAGAAGGAGGCAGCTGCGAAGGCCCTGGGGCAGCGGCCTGCCCGGCTCATCTGGGAACAGCCAAGGGTCCAGAGCAGAGCAGACAGGAGGGGGCAGGAGGAGAGTTCAGAGAGCAAACTCTTGGGGAGGGGCTCGGCGGTTCCACGTGAGGATTTGGGGTTTTATTCGGACCAAAACGGGGTGCCTCTGAGAGCTCTGAGCAGCCATCCCCTTCTCCATCACGAGTGGAAATTGTAAATGTAGGGAATCATCATCGTACTGATAACGCGCTTGCCTCTGAGTGATGGTGAAACGTTGTTTGAGCATGGACTGTGCACCAAGCACCGTGCCCAGGGGCGTACCTGCAGACTGGACACTGCCTAGAACTGCCCCTCACGGCACGTGTGATTCCAGCCCGAGGCTCCCACAGCAAGGCCTGGGGCAGGTGCCACCCCACCGCCCAAGGCTTTGCAGAACAGCTCCTTCTAGGAATGCATCAGAGTTGTCACAGCAAAACTCGGTATCTGAACCCAAGAATGACAAGACTTTGGCTACAGGGCGTCTTCAGCGCGTATAAAACCCATCCGTTAGCTACATGTACGCACTTGATGGCTTCTGTGTACCCCGAATACGCCATAACCTCCTGTCAGCTTCCGAATGAATCCCCCCATACCTTCACTTACCTGACTCAGAAGTCACTCCCGTGGCGATTATTTTGTTTTTCACTTCTGACACTTCAGTGTGAAACAGAGAAGTGAAGACTCATGTGACATGAATAGTATTTCTTGCCTTCCCAAGAGTATAAGCTTCTCCAGGGCTGGGACCTAATCTTCTCCTGAGTCTGTAGCGCCCCCAGCACTGTCCACGGACCAGGGTCATAGCGAATGGCCGCAGTGGCTGTGTTCTCTCCCCCATGATTCTCTGACCATCTCTCTTCCTGTTCGGGAGTCCCATGACTCTGCATGGTTTCTTAAGTAAGTATTGCTAAATCTTAAAATCGTCGTTCCTTTCAGCATCAGCAGCAGTCATAGGAAACTCTTAAGAAAAACAAAATATGATTTTAGTAGCTTTTAAAAGTAGAAAAGTCCGCCTCTCTGCCCACTCCGTGTCTTCCCTGAATCATCTGAACATTGCCGGGAGAAGCACGCCCTTCTGAGTCACGCCATGGATCTCAGTGCTAGCTGGAAAACTTACTTTATTTCCCAGAAAATGCTTCTCCAAACCCTCTCCAAGATACTATTTCACTCTTCTCGTGTCGACACCTCTTGCCTCTGCCTCTCAACATGTGACCTGATCTCCTACCACAGGAAAAAAAAATAGAAGCCGCCGACCCAAACCCCCTCACCCTCTCTCTGCCTTCACACCTGCTGTTCCAGCTCTCCCGCCGACCCGGGCGCCCACCTCCAAGGTCACTGCGACCTCCAAGGTCACTGCATCCAGATCCCATCTCTCTTGGCACTCTCAAGTCCTCGGCTTCTGCGATTCGCCTCCCTCCTTCTCCAGAATGCTTCTCCTCCTCCTCCGTTCCACCATAGGATTCCAGCAGCAAGCAGGCATGCTGGAGTCTCCCACGGTTGGAAGGCCCTTCTCCATCTTACACCTCGCCCAGCACGTCCCCTGTCCCATTAGGCACCGTATCACCTTCCACAGTAAAACTGACAGAGTTGCCTGTGCCGATGCCGAACCAACCATCACGGTGCAGTCTCCTCTCAAGACACCTCATCTGGGCTCTGTCCCTGTCGCCACACAGGAACTGCCCTGGCCCGGGCCAGCAGGGATGTCTCTGCTGCCCAATACGGTGTTCAAGCCACTCGCCAGAACCAGGGACCGGAACAGCCCATGGCCTGTTGGCATCGCCACTCGGGTATCTCACAGAAAAACTAACCTCAGTGTCTCTAAAAGTGTCTTCCCTAACCCACGTCCTTACTCCGTTCTCTCTCGTCGGCAAATGACGTCATCATCCATCCACCTGCTCTCACCAGAACCCGGAGGGTCCTCCTTCATTCCAGTCCCCTGGCCACGTCTAACCCTCCAGCAATGCCGCTGCTTGCATCCCCAAAGCACAGTATGAATCCGCCTGTTTTCCCCTCCTCCCCCAGCCCGTTCTAGCCCCAGCCACCCTGTCTCTCACTTGGATCTTCGCAGTGGCCCTACAGCAGCCACCTCACCACCCGTTACCACCACGCCCAGAGCGTCAGATCAAATCATCCTCGTGGCTGAGACACCCGATGCTTCCCCTCCCCTGAAAATCAAAGCCAGACCCCTCCAGCTGGCCCTTGAGGCCCCACGTGACCTGGGCCAGCTCTCCCTGACCTCTGACCTCACCGAGCTCCCATCTGCTGGGTAAGTGGCGCCGGTGGGCTCTCCTTCTGCTCTGCAAACAGAAGCCTGTTCTGCTTCAGGACCTGGCCGCTCCCTCTGCTCCCAGTCTTTGCCCACAGCTGTTCGCACAGCTGGTCCCTCCTTAGGACGCAGGAGTCGGATGAGCAGACAGGCCTTGCCTAACCAGCCTCACTCACGGTCCCATTAGCTCGTTTTCCCTGTGTCACTTACCGCTGTTGGCAAGTATCGGGTTATCAGGTTCGCTTCTTTGTCTGCGTTTTCCCCGTCTGCTCCGCCAGAACGGGGGCACCGTGAGCGCAGGGGCCGTGCTCTCGCGTGCCCTGCCTGCCTGCAGACCCACAGCAGGGCCCCCGGCAGAGCGGGCACCCGAGTGTGAGGGAGTGGCCCACTGAAACGGGAAAGCCGACTTAAGGCTAAACCGTCAACTCCTAAAAACGTCCCTGCGCTTTCACGATGAGACTTTTAGAACCACACAAAACCACTCAAACGTGAAACATGACTTCAGGCTAAGTCATGAACTCATAAACATTTTTCTACGCTTTCACGTAGAGATTCTAGAGCCACGCAAGATCCCGGGCCTCCCTCCCCTAGAACCGAAATGAAATGAACAACCACCAAACAAATTTTTTTTAAAAAGCTGGAAAACTCATAAAAACATCACCAGCAGCAACTGAGAAGGAAGGGGCACCTGCCCGGGACGTACCATTAGAAAGTGGAAGCCGGAGATCAGAACAGAAGATCGTGGCTGAGCAAACTACAGCCTGGCCCCTCCCTCCGCCTTGACCTTCAGGAGCAACCAAGCAAGTGAAATACTCACGAGTGCCCCCCTCCCCCCCCGCCGCACCCCTGCCGACGTGCATACAGAAGGAGGGGGAAGTGCCGTGTTTCTGCGCACCGGCGTTTGGGTGGTGGAGAGGAGCTGCTGCTGGAGCGGATGGGAACAGCTAGAGGCTCATCCACGGGCGCTCAGTTGGCTGGGAGGGGAGGAAACGCTCTGGAGAGGCCCCCACCAGCCCGTGGAGGGGCCGCTGTGGGGTGCGGGGAAAGGCGCACCCTCCTCCCGCTGGTGGTAAACCCTCGCAGGTGCGGTTAGCCCGTCAGAGCGGAGCACGGGGTGAACCCAGCCCTCGCCCGCCCTCCTGGCCGGGCGCCAGGTGCCGTGAACAACCTGTACAACCGCGCGGGGCAACCCCGGCCGCGGACTCCGCGAACTGTACGGATCCCCATCAACAGAGCGCGTCCCCATGGAAACAGGATACACCGCCCACTAGATTTCTAACCAAAGTCTGGGGGAACCACCCCAGGACCACAGAGGTCACGTCCTCCCACGAAGACGTCACAGCCTCCAGAGCATCTCCCCTCCCCCCAGGTGCCCCCACCCACCAGTGAGGCCACAGAAAAACCCAAAGGAAAGCACAGTGGCTCCTGAGACCAGAGGGACTCGGGGAGGACGACAAGATGACAGACACGCTGAGCTCAGGCGCTCGGGCGGCCACGAGCCCTGTGACGGCAGCAGCCCGGTAACTGTGCAAACAGCCCCTGGAGGTCGAGAAAGGGGGGGCAGGGGGAGGGTCTGGGGTACAAGCCACAGGAAACCTAAGCCAGGATGAAAACTCCCTCTTCTGCCTTCACAGTCTGTCCTCTCCTGTATTCGCTGACTGCGTCTCTGCATTTCTTTTGGCCCCGTATTTCTTACTTTGGTTTTCCGCAAAAGAAACCCTGCTTTGAGCCTTGAACTTACTTGCAAGTCCTCCTGAGGAGCCAGGAGGTCCGTGAGGAGACGCGGAGACGGGAGGCTGAGGCTGCAGGTGCAGGGAGGAGCCGGGATTCTGGACAGCAGATCGGTTCGGAGCAGAGTGGGGCTGCAACTGTTTACGGTGACAATGGCCCATCGCGGTGTTAACATAGCTTTGTGGGAGTTACGGTGACAGAAGAAAATTGGACATCACAAAACCTCGCAGCGTGAAAACAGTGTAAAACTAGCAAGTATCCTGAAGAGCGAGCGGGGAAAGGCGCTGTGGAGGCAGTGGGGTGCTGACCTCTCCTAACTCGCTCCCTTGCTCGGCAGCGAGCAGAACCACACTGGCTGCGACAGAAATGTCTGTTACTAAAAAACGTTAAAATTCCAGCCTCGTAATCCTGTTCATGATATATTTCCATTAGTTTAGAGTGACCTCACAGGAAGTAATCTCTCATGTAGAGGAAACAAATCTGAATACAGCATGAATTTGCAGCATTTATTCTATTGAGTACATCGAATTTGTTTAAAAGCAGCGTGAGTGATATGACCCCACTGTTCCAAAATCATTCTGTTTTCCCCACATTTGCGCACGGGGAGGGCGCGGACTGGAAACGAACAACAGTTCGTTCTGGGCCGTGGGATGACCCGCTCGTTCTGATTTGCATTTTGAGCTGTGGGAGTTCATCAGCAGAGGTCGTTTACAGTCTGCCCAGCTTTGAGCTCACGGGGGTTCCCCTCGCTCCCTCTGGCATAGACGCTTCAGACGCCCGTTTTTCCCCGGGGAGGGGCGAAGCTGAGCAACACCCAAGTGCCCGGGCTGTCCCTCCCTGCCCTCCGACGGAGGTGGGGTCCTCCAACGGGCTCCACGGCCCCAGGCCCTGAACTGGAGTTGGCCTCTGGGTGGTGCGGGCCGGGCCAGAGGGCAGGGAGGGGAGGTGGGTGGGGAGGTGGGCGGGGCGTGTCATTCTTTGCCTCCGTTGTCGTCTGTAAGATCTGGCAGACCGCCATCCCGAAGAAGACGAAGAAGACGACGCGCCGACCGACTTCAAAACCTCCGCTCAGGGCGGAAGTAGTCAGCCCAGGGACACATTCTACCCTAACCTCCATTTCCTTCAGGACGCTGCATGCTATTTTTTTTTAAATTCTTGAATAAAAGTTCACAAAGCAAGCAGCCACACGTTTGAACAGGGAGGGCTGTGAGTCCACCAATTGCTGTCGCCTCTCCCCATGGAGGTCTGCAGTCGACTGCCTAGGGGGGACCACGTGCATGGGTGGGTGTGTGTACCACTTTAAGAGCACGAGAGAAATGGTGCTCCGTCGATCCAACTTGTTTTCAGGGTAAGGAGAAAAAACACGACCTGGTCGTTTCATAGACACGACGACCTATACAGTAGTTTGCCCAGGGTCTCCACGGCACAAGGATTAGCGGTAGTTTTACAAAAAAAAAAAAAGTCTGTATCCCAGAAACAAACAGAGATATTTGAATTGTTGAGAGTTTCAGGTTTGGTGTTACAAGTTCACAGTTCTAAAGATAAAACCACTATGACAACCTCAACTAGATATTTTGAGTGAAAATAATTGTTTCTTAAACGTATCATGTGAGTAGCATCAGGTTCTTCCTAAAGGGAACCTCGGATTCTCATCAGCTCTTCTCCCCGCCGTCCCCAAAAGTTAGGAGACCACTTTCCATGGCAGTTGTTTAAAAACCAAACTTCGGAATTAAATCACCTGGTTGTCGAAATGTTCTCTTTAGAATTTGGCTGCGTATCAGAATCAGAAAATCAACTTCAACCACAATCAGCATTAAAAGTGAGTATATTTCATTTTATTTTCTCCAAATATTTGTGTCAAGGCTGATGTTTTTCAGAGTAAATACTTCCTAAATGCATTTGGGTTATCCACCAAAATAAAAAAAAAAAAACCTTCATGAAAATGCCTTGGAGAGTTAGCAAGAACGACCAAGAATGGGAGTCACCTGACCCTCACGTGGTCCTTTCTGGCAAATGGCAACTCTGGGATATAAAAAAGTATGTAACAGTTCAAGTACGTGTTCACTTACGCAAAAGCACTGTCTCACGCCCCGTTTCATCTCGTTAAAGGCCCTTCAGCATCAACTGGAATCGTTTCAGGCTCTCCGGATACAGACTCTGCAGAACGTCAGCATGGTATGTTTCAGCTAACCCGCACGCAGGAGATACCCAAACCTAAGACACCACCCACATTTCTCACCGACCCACTGATTACTGGACAGGGGTCGCAACATTTTCTAGGCTCAAAATCTGGAGAAAGCAATATTCTGTTACATTTGGATTTAAGACAAAAAGAAGCAGCACTCGCGGATTTTTAAAAACATGTTTAAAAGTGCTACCAATAGGGACTACCAGTAGGGACTGCCAGTAGGGACTCTGGTTAAAAGTGACCTAAAATCTAACCCAAACCAAGGGAAAACGTGCATTAGCTCAGGTAACTGAAAATCCTAGGGATTTTCACATGGGGATGGCTGCATCCATGTGATTGGGACTCATGTCATCAAGGAAACAGCCACACCCTGACTTGCTTTGCCTACATCCCTCCAGATTCTGGGCAGACAGAAGGGCCGTGCTTGTCTCTCTCACCAGTTTACACTGAGTTTCTTGGCCTGCTTCTGGTTGCCCAGACCGGGTCCTACAGGATGCCTGGATCAGTCCCTGTGCGAAGGGGGCCACCGCTGGGCCCGGCTGGCACGGAGCCACCCACCACGCTGGAGATGGGAGTGGGATCAGCACCACCCCAGGCACAGGGACTTTCTCCAGAAGAAATACTGGGTGTTGTTAAGAGAAGGTTAGGGCATGAACACTGGGGGTGCAGAACCCAGCACGTATTCACTGAAGACCCCATGTAAGCTTCCCCCCAATATTCTTGCATTTAAAGCAATTGCAGGGGAATGGGGAAAGAAGATACATTCCTGAGGGTGACAGAGTGGGTTCCATTCTGATATCACAGATCAAAGGTCTCTGATTGGTTCAACAATGTAAAAATCAAGCATATAGAATTATCTGAATTGCTGGAGATTTTATTGTTTTCCTAAGTTGAGTCTTTCTAATTTTATAATCACATCATGAAGGTACAATTTGATATCTTTAATTATAGAGATTATAATAAATTAAATTTATTTTATATGATATGGGATGGGAAAGAATTTTTATGTGCAGGAAATTAAAAGGTATCTTTTAATATAATATCTATTACTCCTGTACCTTCATACATGTTTATAAACTTGAAATTAAATCCTAACATTCTCAATTTATCTTTTAAAGGTACAGTCTGAAATCAGTGAAATATTGAACAAAAGTATTATTGAAGTAGAAAACCCACAGTTTAGCTCTGAAAGAAATCTAATATTCAACACACACATTGAAAAGGTACGTTATTCTATACAAAATCATTCTATATTTAGGAATTTCAAAAATGTTACTGCCACCAGTTTACCTTCAACTTTACATTTTCCCTTGCCTCCAGAGATGAAAATAGGGAAATTCCTGTCCTTGAAAACCCTAAAAGACGTGCATTTACCCCCACACTTCTGCGGCACCCCATTGCCCTCAGGAAAATGTAGAAGGAGTATTTAACTCAGTCCAGACACCAACAGATCCCCATATAACTGAAACACGAGGCCGTTTAATAGCCCATCTGTCCACTTTTGATTGAGTTTTTCTACTTTAGGACCAACCCAGACCCAGAGTGATTCCTTGGGGCAGGCCCAAACCACCGTCCCCGTGTCTGTATGATTAGAACCCACATTCTCCAGGACAGTCACAACCCTCGAATCATCTGAAACTCGGACCGCAAGCCAAGGCGCACGGATAGCCCAGTGGCGGAAATATTCATTCTCCTTAAATTTCCATTTGTCCTATGGCTCCTATCTTTCCAGTCTATCAAGGATGGTCTCCTGAGAGATGCCAAACGTCTATTTCTGAAATTGAGGGGTTGATCCATGGATCTCACCTGCTAAGGAAATAAGTACAACTTCTAAGCATATTGCTAAGACCAGAGTTGTAGATCTCAACTGTTGTTCGATTGCCCGGAGAAAATCGATCACACCTGTTAGGCTTCTTTGCTGTAGAAATGATTAAATGTTCGTTCACTTGTTTGTTTGTTTGTTTGCTTGCAAATATAAATTCTCCACAAAACATTATCTGTGTTTGGTCATGTGGCAAATGACAATACATTTATCGTGTGCTTTTTATTGTTACTAGCCTACAGAGAATCAAGAAGAAATCCTTTCCATGGAGAAAATTCATCATTTTGAGGATTCGAGGACTCTTCATTCAGTGGAAGAAAAATTCAGCAGCAATAGTGCGAACGGTCTCTCTCAGGGTCTACATCTCCCGCCCCAGATACATTCCAAGGACATACTAACTCTGAGAACTTCAACAGATAATTCAGCTTCAAACGTAACTATGAGCTCTTCAGAAAATTCTGATGTGTTCAAGAATTATAATAACCTTTATAGTTTTCTACCTAATGCGCCTCAAAATGTCGTGTCTCAAGCTGATACAGTAATTCTGGATAAGTCCAAAATTACTGTGCCTTTCCTCAAGCATGGATTTTGTGAAAATTTAGACGATATTTGCCATTCCATCAAGCAAATGAAGGAAGAGCTTCAGCAGTCACAGGACAAGGAACTGGCACTTACAAATGAAATTCAAACTTTAAAAATGGATACAAATTTTCAAGGTAATACGACATGTGACCTGTCCCCCATTCACAAGGAAAATAGTAACTTTATTAAGGAAGAAAATACAAAAAGTAACTTAAATGAAGATATGAAATCAAAGAGAATTTTAGAATTAGAGGCATTAGTAAACAAATTACTCCCGCTCAGGGGAACAGTGTCAAAACTGCATTTGACTTTTTGTAGGAAATGTAAAAAATTATCTAAGAGTGAAATACACAGGGGAAAAAGGAGTGAGAAAAACAATAAAGAAATTCCTATCGCTAGCAAGAATACTATGGATTTAAAATTCCACTCCAGACTTCCAAAACACACACTGTCGTTCTTTGACCCAACGAAGTATGAAATGAAAGACAAAGAGAGCCAACCATTTGCAGCAAAACGAGGCTCATTATTTGAAAATGAGAAAACATCCAAAGTCCACTCTGTGACAGAGCAGTGTGTTGCAAAAATTCAGTACTTACAGAATTACCTAAAAGAATCTATGCAGATACAGAAAAAAGTAACAGAACTAGACAATGAAAATCTAACCCTGAAGACCAAAATGAAATCTCTTGTCTTCACCACACAGTCTCTGATACAGAAAATTGAAATATACGAAAAGCAACTGAAGAATTTCTTTCACGAAAAGAACACCCTTCAATCCAAATTAATTAAAACAGAGGAAGATGGCAAAGAATGTCTTAAAGAACTGAAAAAAATAATCAGTAAATACAATGTTCTCGAAGAACAAAATAAAACTCTAGAGGAAAAAAATGGCCAACTTTCTCTGGAGAAGCAGCAAATGATTGAAACATTAGATCAGCTGAAAAGTAAAGAACAGAAAACTCAAAATGATATGGCCGTTGTCCGTAATGAAAATAAGCGGATGAGCCTAGAAATGGAAGCAATGAAAACAAATATTCTAGTGATACAAGATGAAAAGGACGTGCTAGAGAAGAAAACATATGAGCTCGTCAAGGAAAAAAGCTCCCTTGAAAATGAACTCAAAGAAAACCAGCTCGAGATAATGCAGCTAAAGGAGAAAGAAAGACTGGCGAAAACCGAACAAGAGACGCTTCTCCAAATAATAGAAACGGTTAAAAACGATAAACTTGATCTTGAAACAACATTACAAGAATCTACCGCTGCGAGACAAATGATGGAAAGAGAAATCGAGAACATTCAAACGTACCGATCTACGGCAGAAGAGAATTTTCTGAATGAAATAAAAAACGCCAAGTCCGAAGCAAGTATCTATAAGAACAGTCTATCAGACATGAGCAATGAATGTGAAATGTTGTCAAAAATGGTCATGGAAATTAAAGCAGATAATCAGATTCTAAAGGAAGAACTGAAAAAACACAGCCAGGAAAACGCGAACTTTGAAAACAGCATCAGTAGGCTCACGGAAGACAAAATCCTCTTGGAGAACTACGTGAGAAGCATAGAGAACGAACGAGATACCTTGGAATTTGAGATGCGCAATCTTCGAAGAGAATACTTGAACCTCAGTGAGAAAATCTGTGGCCAGCGTGGGGACCTGTCGGAAATGGGTCGCATTTCAAGAAGAGAGAAATTCCATTTCGACAGCTACGACACTTACGAAGACACCTCTAGGCCCAGGTACAGGCCTTCAGCTGCTGATGGGAAAGGTATGTACACTCTGGGTGGGTTGATAGCAAGTTTGTGAGCTCTCTTTAGCCTGCTGGGCACTAGTCAGAGAACAGTAATAAGATGGGAACTTTTAAGATGGATACAATACATTTTGCAAGATTTGCATCCAGTTTATTTTGTAGTAGATTTAGAGGTTTTGCTCTTTTAATAGAATTCATGTTATTTTCTTGATAATTACTTCTGTACATTGAATATGCACAAAGCAACTTGGGGAGCGAGCGGGGGGGGGTTAATTACTATTTTTCTGAAGTATGCTCGACACTCCCACCTTACAACAAATTCTTTCTCTTTCCCCAGGCATCCCAAGTAAACTGTATCAATTGCTTCCATCCAAGATGTGTAAATAAATTTCTAAAATCAATGTTTCAAACTCCTTTGTCCAAGGACTTTTTTTCCTACAAAATAATTTGAAGTTTGCCTTTACATATGATTACAATTACTCTGTAACAGAATAGATTAGTTTTTTAATTTAGAGATTAGGTATGTATACTTAATTCCAATTTCTAACTAAAAAACTTATTTTATATGTGTATATATATATGGTCTTGACTATATATAGTCAAGAACTGTAATTAAAAAACTAATGTATATAATCAAGAACTGTCAGCAGTGTGAGATCTCACCACACTCGTAAGCTACTGCGTACGTTAGCCAGTTGTATGAGTTCCAATGGAAGGCAGGAGATATCAGGGTCAGAGGCAAAGGATGGTCTGTTATGGCCACAGCAGTGGCCAGAATATTAGCTTTTTTTTTTTTTGCATTGGCTCTCCCAGCCCCCATTCCTGTAGACAACATGCAAAGGGCCACAGTCAGTGATGCCACAGGAGAGAGCTCTGAGGCTGGGGAGCCCCAGTCTGTCCAACCGTGAGTGAGCACGCCTGCTGTGGCTCCAGGTGGCAGCATTCCCTTGGGCACAGAGGACGTCAGCACGTCCGCCCTTGCTCCGGAGGAGACGCTAGCTCTGGCTTCCAAGGCTGCGTACTGTACAAACTTGTTGAGCTGTATACCAAAGGCTTTCTCTGCATTTACTGAGATGTGCTTTCCCCTTTCGTCTGTTACTTTGGTCATCACAATGATTAATTTTGAAACATTGTACCAGCCTTGCATTGCTGGAATAAATTCCAAAAGGTCGTGTAGTACCCTCTCAATATACACTCCTGGGTTCAATTTGATAATGTTTGGTTAAGGGTTTCTTCTATGTTCAGAAAGATATTGGTCTCAATATTATTTTCTCTCAATGTCTTCGTTTGGTTTTGGCACCGGGAAAATCTGGCCTCATAAATTGTGTGGGGAAGTGTTTCCTCACCCTCTGTTTTCTGGAAGGATGCACAAAAGGATTGGCATTATCATGAGCTCTTCCTTAAATACATAATAGAATTCACCAATGGCCTAGAGTCTTCCAGATGGGAAGGTTTTGCACTGCAACATCCATTTCATGAGTAGATGTGGTCACCAGATTTTCTATCCATTCTTGAGTCCGTTGTGATCATCTGCACGTTCTGAGAAATGTGTACACTTTGTGTAAGTTCTCGAGTGCATTGGCAGGAAGTTGTCCATGATGCTCCTTGCTATCTTCGTAATATCCAGAGGACCTGTGATGACGCCCCATCATTGATTTTGGCCATCGGTCCATTGGGGTTTCTCCTTTTTATCAGTCTTGGTAGGGTTGAATCACTGGTATTGCTTTGTTCAAAAATCAGCCCCTACAGCAGCAAGGAGAGACCCCTAACACAGATGATATGCTGCTGCTGAACTTCCCCTCCGGTCCTGGTGAGAGCTTCCTGTTGGTCCAGGTCTCTCTCGAAGTTCAGCCTTCCCTCCCTGAGCAGGCCAGCACCCCCAGCCTTTGTTTCCATGTGGGGCCTTACAGAGGTGTGGCTAGATGACTCCCAGCAGACACTAGTGGCCGCTGAGCTAGCTTATTTCTTCCAGCGTCCGCTCACAGCGGATGCAGGAAACCACTCGAGTCATCCAGGCACCGTCAGGGGACAGGAGACACCTAGATGCCAGAGCTGTCACAAGATGGGAGGCCAGTGTCCACTAACCCTCCACTCCTCACGTCCGAGTTCAGGGGGAAAAGTCGTTCCACAGGAAACCACCCAATGTTGTGCTGTATTTTCAAACTTAAAGAAAGAGTCGATGATGATTTAAAAAATGAACGGTCACCATAAATACGGCACCCCTCAAATCAAAGTGTACGTGTGTGTGTGTCCCTCTATCATTTGGAAGCGATCGCTCCTTTTCCACATGCTCCCCTGTCCCCGTTGCTGGTTTCTGCGTTCCCTTTCCCGTAAACCGACGGGACACGTGGATGCAAACTGTGGGTAAGCCCCAACCGTCACAGCACTGCTTGCACCCTTCGGTCCAGCATTAGAGCACACTACCCCCTACGAACGTCACCTGGGGGGCGCATCGCTGGGAGAGGCGCATTCATAAAAACTACGGCTCACAAAAGGCAGTGGGAAAAACAAGCACTGAGATCTTGATGAAATCTGAAATTCTAAGCCTCTCATCTCAAAGGAATGTGTATGCAAAGCCGTTTGGTAACATCGACGTGTGACTATCTGAATTTTATGCTGTTACGTGCACCTGGTCAAGCCACTCCTGAAGACACATGAGTTCGCCTTTGAGTCACATTAGATCCTTGATAAAGCCTTTAAGATGTTCACTCCACATGATCCTTTGCATGGGAAATAAGAATTTTAAACACTTTCAGAAGAAAGTAAATAGTTATGAGGCATGGAATAAAATATATGTATTTGACAATAGTAAAAATTCACTGTGCCGCCTGCAATCTCTTTAAAAGCCAGATGTGTATCTGGGCTGGCACAGGTCCCCGCCCCGTCGGGGAAAACGGGGCCGGAGGAGGAGAGCTGCAGCATGGGTGCAGTCTGACTCCCAGCTCGGAGACGCCCAGGGTGGTGGAGCGGCAAGTCCTAGGGCAGCACCATGAGTCAACAATACCTTCCCCATGACACTATATTAATAGACACTGTAAATGTCTTTTCAATACAAACACCACCACCACCCTCGAATGAATGAGGACTATTGATACAGACCTCCTCATGAATTATAGCAATGCATTTAAATTGTATCTTTCAACAGCAGATAGTTTTTTTTAAGATTTTATTTATTTTTAGAGAGGGAAGGGAGGAAGAGAGAGAAACATCAATGTACGGTTGCTGGGGGCCGTGGCCTGCAACACAGGCATGTGCCCTGACTGGGAATCGAACCTGCAATGCTTTGGTTCGTAGGCTGAGCTCAATCCACTGAGCTATGCCAGCCAGGGCACAGCAGATAGTTTTATAAGTGGGAGGGCGAGTGAAGCAAAGAGAACCTGGGAACCAGAAGGGGAGGCCTAGGGGATGGTCTGTGAGAGGCAGCTTTGGACAGCCACAGAGGGCCAGGGGGACAGCAAAGACAAGTTCACCCGCCTGGTAACTCTGTGAGTTTCTGTAAGATAATGAGGTAAAAGTGCATCCCCCATTCTCCCTTCCCCCCACTTGTCCTGGGGCTGCACTGCCGGACTTGGCGCTTTACAGAGGCCGTCAGTGAAGGCATGGGACCTCAGAAAGTGAGACACTTGACTGACCACAGAGGCTATGACCCTGGGGGGGGGGGCGGGGGCGGGGGCGAGCCATCCAATATTCAACTCCGAGAAGAAACAGCAAGTTAAGGGTTGACTCTGTACGCTCCGCCCCTCCAGCCCTCGTATCCACCTCTGCTCTACAGCCCTGCAGCTTTTTAACATTGGGAGTCCATGCTCTCAATCAAGATACGGCAAGGCGAGATTTTATAGAACTTCTAAACATCATATTCTCAGAAACACAGCTCTTAACACAGATCAGCAATCACACATTAAATCCTTAGCAAATACTATTTATTCAGTAGTACTAAAAGAAGAGTATTCGAGTAGGAGGATTAAATTTGTCATAAATGCTTGAGCTCTCTGTCCCGCAACATCTTATATTTTTTCCAAATAGTTAGCACTTGATAAAGAGTTACTGGTAGTCAGGATCTAGAAAGCTCTTTGTCTTCCAGATGCTAATAGGACTGAACTGAAGCAGTCTTGTAGTTCTTCATATTTAGTGCCCTAAAATTAGAAAATAAATGTCCATTTAATTTTATAGGTGTAGCTAATATATCTACAAGTTCTTATAAAAATGTTTTGCAATAAAAAATTAACAATCCCAAACCAATTTCCTCACCAAACTAAAAAGCTTCACTTTATATAAATCAGATATATTTTAAGGATGTAATTTAAGAATGAAAAATTGGTTTACGGGACCAGTTTTAAATAATCAGTTACTCTTTTCTGTCCAAACACATACACTAGGGCACCACAGAGCTTTCTGTTCTCTGGATAGAAAAAAAACCTCACAGAAAACTGCCCCAGAATATTATTCCTGCAGACAACAGTTGAATTACATAATATTGAAGGGCAGTCTTATTTTGTGATGTAATGATAATGCTGGTGTTATAATCACTATCGACCAGTGATAGGCTGCACTAGTGTTTTTATAAAAGAAAATGTGAATTTGGTGTCCTTTATGTAATCCATTGTAGGATTACACTGAAGTTATAAATAGGTTCATCAGTTTAATTGACATTAAAATGTTTTCAATGACTAGATAGAAATGCGTTCTCTCACTGATTTCTGATCTTGCACACACAGACACGAAATGATAGATTGTCCTTCTCTAATTTATGTTCTGAGCTCCTGAGACCTTCTCAGTTTTAAGAGTACTCAAAAGCTGGGTAAAATTGAAGTGTTAAGATACTTTAATACATACTTCTCCTCGAAGTATTACAAAGTGACGTTAACAGCATTTTAATGAACAAGAGTATGTCCTGTTTACACACAAGGCCGTTTCAAAGCTAAGAGCAGAGCCTCACGTGTCTCGTCAGCGTGCCCAGCTAGCTGAACTAGGAACATCCGATGAGTCTCCAACGACTCAGGAGACGCCACAGGTTTGCTTTAAAAATTATGGACAGAAGAGTTTCGTACAGATCAATTAGGCTTTTTCCAATTGCAAATTTCAGAAGATGGGAAAGAGCTCCGACAAGGGAGAGCAGGTATACGGAAGGGTTTCTCAAATCACCCCAATTTGTTGCTTAAACAAGCATGCACAAATAAAAAAACATCATTTTGAAGGAATCTAAAAGTCTAAAACAATTTCTCTCAGTATAGGAACTACATGAAACATATTACTTACTTTTTGACATTCAAAGTCATTATGCTTTGAATCGGCCTGCTCTTTGGTCCACCCGGTGGGTGGAAAATCTTAGCGCCTTGGCCCAAAGTCTGCTTTGTCAGCTTAGCCGCGTAAGGGTCAGCAGAATGTGAAGGGTAAGGGTCAAATGTGCCTGCCTTCATTCCACCAGCCTACAAGTGAAAATCACACAATCGTATGGGGTTTTATAAAATGCTTCTAAAAAATTAGATTTTGAAAAAGTTCATACACATTCGTGTACTGTCTGTGGAGTTGGTTTTACATTTAAAGAAAGGTATCTATTCTGTTTAATTCAAGTACCAGCAAAGAGTCTCCCTACCATCAATTTTATGGGGTTAAGACACTGTCATTCTAAAAGTCTCTATTAAAATACAAATGTTCACGGGAAAATAATAGTCTAAATTACTGCCAAGCATTAAAATTTGAGTGAGAGTTTATCACACCAGGCTATCATGTAGTTAGGGGGTCAGCCCACCACTGAGGGAATGAGACCTGGGTCACATATATTTTGACAAGAAAGAAGTTGGGACTTAGAAGCGAAGTGGGGGGGAAGAGGCCAAGGGCAAGGTTCACCCAACAGGAGGCCTGGCAGAACATGAGTTTACTAAACATCAGTCAATGACGAGAAAGATAATTTTTATTTATTTTATTTTTTTATTTATTTTTAGAGAGGGAAGGGAAGGAGAAAGAGAGAGAGAGAGAAACATCAATGTGCAGTTGCTGGGGGCTGTGGCCTGCAACCTAGGCATGTGTCCTGACAGGAAATCGAACCTGTGATGCCTGCTTTGCAGCCTGTGCTCAATCCACTGAGCTACGCCGGCCAGGGTGAGAAAGATAATTTTTTTTAAAAAAGGGAATAGCGCATAGAAATAGAAGTTGAGAAGAAAACATAATCTATTTTATATTTATTTATAATCTATTAAGGGAGGTCCATAAAAATATTTTTCATCTACACATGAAACAGATAAATATTTGCTTCAGCTTTTTAAACTGATTTACCATGACTTTAATCCTTATATTATATATAGTTACTAAGAAAATGCTATAGAATCATAATAACCCACTTATTTAGGCATTTTTTCTCTTATAGTATCTAAGCCAAATAAATATATGTGAAAATTTAATTCATTTGAAAGACATGGTTGTAATTTTCAAATTTTCTAGATTAAAAACAGATTACCTTGAATAGCAAAAAATAATAAGAAAACTTACGAAATGTAAAATAGATTCAAAAAATATAAAAGTAAGTGGATAGATTAAAAATAATAAAATATAGATTGGTATAGATTGGTATAAATTGGTATATGGTAAACATACCAACCTACCAAATGAAGCATTTGAAAGTAAATTAAATAGATAAATCCATATTGAAATTAAGGAGTGGAGCAAACCCACACATATACAGAATACTGAAATACTGTTTCAGTAAACCTCTACGTTAATCAACTTGAAAACCTGAATGAAAAAAGTGATTTTCAAAGAAAATGTAAGTGTCAAAATTGACTTAAATAGAGATAGAAAACCTATAGAAAACAGACGGGCACCACGCAAAAAATTAAGGCCACAACACTTCCTATGATAATTCCTTCAAGCTTGCAAGAACAGGTATTTCTGGTGCTGTTTAAATTGGTATAGAACATAAAGGAGGAAGTCTCCCTGATTATTTTAAGATGCTAGCATCTACTTATCCCAAAATAGAACAAGGTATACAAAAAAAAAGGACAGTCACACTTAAAATCACTGATGCAAAGATACTTAATAAAATATTCACAAATGAAAAAGTATAACACTTAAAGAATAACACAGCACAGCCGAGTAGGATTCACTTCCAGAAATTTGTTGTCATTCATCTAATAACAAGTCAGAGGGAGGAAAAGAGACGGTACAAATAGATTACACCAAAGCGGTCACATAATTCTCCATACATTCCCGATTCATCCCTATCGTCGGCATCTCTAAAGATGAAACACCAGAGGTACCCTCATTCAACTCATGATTCGGGCGAGGACAGCCACTATTGTGGCCTAAGCAGCTGGACGAGGGCATGACATGAGAGAGGTAGGTACTGGGAAGCAGGGAGCAAAGTTATTACGCAGATAATACCATCATATAACTGAAACTCCACAAAGAATCAACACAGTACCCGTTAGAATATAAGGAAGTGTAATGAAGCAGCCAGGAATATTTTTTAAATCAAATGTTTTACAAGGACAAATAACATGAGGAGAAATGTGATGGGAAGAAAAAACTACTGACCCTGGCCTTGAAATACATGAGAATAAATCTGAGATATGTAAGCCTATGTGAAGTAAAATATAATATGCTGCCAGGGAAATGAAGGTTTTTATTTTGTTTATTTCTGGGTCAGAAGACTCCAGTCATGAATATCCAAATAAATCTTAAAATCTAAAGATTTAACTTTATAGCAAAATACCAAAGGTCTTTTTCCTCCAGAACTTTACAAAGTAATTCCAAAGTTCCAGAGAATATGTAGAGGGCAGCAGCCAACATAACTTTTTTAAAGAAAAACAAGGAGAGAACAGACTACCCCAAACTGAAATGTAATAGTAATAATGAAAAGCAGGTTGGAACTGGTAGACATAAACAAATATCAAATAGAATGGATATTCCATTTAGAAAACAAAATCCTCAAAAAAATGGGAATTTTGATTTGATGAGTGGTATTCCAAAGGAGTGGTACTAAAAATTATTCTGCTAGCCCTAGCTAGTGTAGCTCAGTGGACTGAGTGCCCACCTGTGCACCAAGGGTCACTGGTTCGATTCCCAGTCAGGGCACATGCCTGGGTTTCAGGCCAGGTCCCCATAGAGGGTGCGTGAGAGGCAACCACACATTAATGTTTGTCTCCCTCTCTTTGTTCCTCCCTTCCCCTCTCCCTATTGCAAAATAAATAAATTTTTTAAAAAATTATTCTACCAGTAATATTGGGAACCAGTAATATTTTTCAAATTGGCTTTTAAAAAATAGCAGTTTTACCGAAATCTAATTCACACACAACACACTGCGCCCACTGGAAGTCTGCAGCGCTCTGAGCTGTGCAGACACACACCCTTCAGACCACAAGCGCAGTCGAGGTACAGAACGTGCCCTCCCCCAGAGTTTCCTTCTGCCCCAGAAACTGGATTTTGAAAAAGATGGAAGCTGGGTCCTTACCGCACTCTTCGCGTCGGTTACTGGAGTAAGCAAAAGTAGGTGTACAGCTGTGAGCACGTGAAACACAGAGTTTACTCTCCTGTACTATTATTGATTGTTCACTGTATTATTTTCCATATGAACGCCTGTCAACCAACTTTTGCCCACCCCTGTCTATTTCAGATGAAGATTTCCATGCAAAAGAAGACGACTAATAGAAGAAATCAAGAATGTATATTATTCTAATATTGATGGCGAGGTTATGATATCATAAAACTCAGTGCAAAGGATAAATTGGACTACATCAAATCACTAAATTTCTGAACAGCACAAAATTCCATAAAGTCAGAATTAACAGACTAAAAGAATTATTTTCCACAAAGATGACAAAAGAACAATATCCTTAACATATAAAAAGATCTTATAAATCAATATGAAAAAATACAAATATCCTAACAGAAAATCTGCAGGGAAAATAAACAGGCAATTACAGAAGAAAATATATAGATAAACCAAGGTTTGTAAACTATGAGAAGCATTTTCATTTTTATTCAAACTTGTAAACTTCAGCAAAGTGAGACAGTTTATTTTAATCATTTCAAAAACTAAAAGACGGTCTGGCTCTTTATGGTTTTGAGAAAAACTATACCTAAGATAGAGAGGCACTTAGAAAAATCTATCGCAAATTCAAATATATTTGAACTGATTAATAATTACTTCATAAGAGTTTCCTTATTCCCATACGCTAGCCATACTTTGGGCCTTTTCATAATTTTATAAAAACTGGTTTCGCGATTCTTGACGTGAATATGGGCAAAAGTTTATTTACACGGGCAACAAAATAATTTGACAGCAAGAGGCACCATTTCTTTAAAATGCTTAATATTTTTTCATTCTCAAATGTTTAACTTACCTTTTTACCAGGAGAAGGGGGTTTAAAAGGGCCCCCGGGTGCTGCTTTCGTCTCTGCCTTCTTAATCGGTGGCAGAGGCTTCTCCAAAAAGTAAGGATTGGTATCAAAATATTCTCTCGGGTAAAGATTCAGCTTGAAAGGCGCCCCTTTAAGTAGATGATGATGCTCTTCATTCTGTTTCTGTAGAGTTTGCAATTATATTGCATGAGTTACTCAAATTAATAATAGTGCTGAGTCGAATCTTCTTTTCCCTTTCATTTACTTATTTACTTACTTACTTACTTTTAACTCCTCACCTGAAGATATATTCATTTATTGTAGAGAAAGAGGAAGTGCAGGGAGGCGGTGATGGGGGAGAAAAAGACTGAGAAACACTGATCAGCTGGCTCCTGTGCACGCCCCAACTGGGGACCGAACCTGCAACCCAGGTATGTGCCCTGAGCAAGGACCGAACCAGCAACAGAATGACGCTCCAACCAAGCCACCCATCCAGGGCTCTTTTAAATTTTAATATAAGCACATAGGTTGTTAAATATATACTGCCAGGTTCACAGATTTTTAAAACATGCCTTTGCTGTGTTCTGTTTTCATGCTACAAAGATATGCTTACTTCTGAACAAGCACAACTATGATCGTTAATTTTGGATATAAATTTATTTGCAGTACAGAAATCGATTTATCACCTGGACAAATCTATATTAACTATCTCGGTAATATAACGTAGGGGAAAAAAAGAAAAAGGAGAAAGAAAAGAAAGATGTGCCTTTAGCTGAAACCCTCACACTCCCCTGCCTTTCGGCACTTCCGGGGACCCGGGCGTGCGGTGTCACGTGCTCTCAGACCTGGAAGGAGATTGGTCTGCACCCCAGCGTCCCGATCCTGTGTGTAAAGTACTTGACACGTGGTAGGCCTGTCATAAACGTCAGTTTTTACTTCTGAGAAGGAGGAGTACCCGCTTTTTACTCCCTACCATTTTTGTATGGCAGTATTTTTAGCTACCTAGTACTCGAGCAATACAAGAGTCCATTGTTTCCCTCCTGCACTGCAATCTCCTCTGTGGGACAACACTAAGGGCAAAAATTGCTGTTAATAAAGTAGAAAAAAAAAATTTCATGATACAAAATATAGACTCAAAAAGAAAACTGTCAAGTGAATATTGATAGAATTTTCTCAGTTTTTTCCAATGTGACATTTGGTATTTCATCATTCAACAGAAAACTGAAAACATTTGGTAACTGGAATCTAAAACCATTAATCCAGGGAAGACAAGTTAATCCAGGTTTTCATTCCTAAGAACAACGCTGTAACACCATCAGAATTTTTTGCTCTTCTTGGATTTTTCTCTTGCTTTTGCTTGTCCTTACCCTCTCTCCTGCCTGTAGGAATTTTACCCCTTCTTGGCGATCTCTCCTCTCTCCCACGCCACAATGGCACTGATAAACTAACCGTTCCACTTTTCCTTTTGGGAAGTGTTTATCTAATTTTGACTTCTGATTGCTCTACTGCAGGGCCCATTAACCTGCAGTGTTAACAGCCACCCCAGCGATTCTGACACAGGGTATCCATAAGGCAATGCTTTAAGGATCTGAATGTCTTATCGGTTTCACCGACCCCTGCCCTTGAGTATCCAGTTGAGTGCTGATCGGTATGCACATATCTTCAAGAAAACTGCTCAAGGCCAAAGGTGCCACCTGAAAGGATCAGAGGTAACAGCACCCGGCCCTGACGCACCCACTGTGCTAGAAACCACGACTCCCAGGGCCGGGAGTGGGGCACACAGAAAGGTCTTGCTTCCGAAATAAGGAAGAATAGCCCTAGACCTAGCACTCCTTCCATCCCACCAAAAGAATCTTAAAAGAAGACCTGAAAAAAATCCAACTGTTTACACCTAATTTAACTGCACCCCAGAGCAAAGCTCAAGAATACGTATAAGAATACAAAAATGTTTAGCAACCAATAAGGTAAAATTGGCAAGGCCCAACATCCAACTAAAAACTACCAGCAATGCAAAGAGTAAAAGGCCTACGCGGGTACGTGTCAGTTCTTAATCCTGCCACTTAGTGAAGTGAGCGAGCAGTTTTCCATCCTTTCCCTCTCTCCTCTGTGGGCATTCATCCATTCTGTTTCTACTTTCTCGCTTTTCCCCATCCCTCCTGCACGCCATTCACACATTATAATGGCTTGGTCCGCTCCACAGTACTCCCCCTGCTTTGCTAGGCACAAGGTATTAGGGTGTTGGGATTACATGACCAAGTGTTAGGATATGACTCTTCTACTCTTGTACTCAAAGTAAAGGGTAGTAGATCAGGCCGAGTTAATGGCAGCCAGTTTAGACAGATGAAAGCCAGATGCAGTAAACCACAGCACCACATAGAAGCTCATCCTGGGAAGAGCTGAGAAGATCTATAGCAAGATGTGTAGCTCTAATATCAAAGAAATATATAAAATTACCACAATTCACAAACATTGGGCTGCCACTCACCTAGAAATACAAATATGTAAAGCAAAACAAAGCATCGCCTGATTAAAGCAAAACATGATCACGAGTGAATTCTCTAACTAAATGAGAAAAGTTGAAAAAAGTTAAAACATACTTTTACCTTAAAATTTTGTTTTGCTGCATCGTAGAAATCAGCCGAGTGTGAGGGCTGTTTCCCTATCGTGACATTGGCATAGCTAAGGAAAGAGAATAAGTGATGGTGACTTTGGGGTTCAGAAACGTTAGATTTCATTGTTTTCCGTTCAAAACAAACGATGTAAAAGCGGTAAACATATCCTACCCATATCCGGTGCCTTTCTTCCCCGGGTTTGTGTATAGATTCTTCCCGGGCACCTCGTACTTCTCTCTGGGCCTGGCCTGCGCGCTGAAGAAGGGGACCGGACCCCCTATGGTTCCGTAGTAGCTCCCCACGCCACATCTTACCGTTCAGACAAATCAAAAAGAGCAGGTTAAAGTGGCCACTTCTGTGTTACATACATTTTACCACAATTTATCTAAAAATGATTGAAAAAAGAGAAGAATATAGGCAATGGCATGGACTTGCTCAGTTTTGGTAAGAAAAAAATCATTTTTGTTAGTTTTTAATTCAATTTTCCCCATGTTTCAAAGACAAATTTTGAGGTGAGTTTTTAATTTTTTATGCTTATTTTAAATGTTTGTATGAACAAAACTTTGTAATCTCTAGGAAGTTAAATTGCTCCCATTAATTCAGTTAACTATGACAATAAACAGACCCTTTTGTGGTTTTTTTAGATAAATATCCAGATACTTTATGGAAAATTAGCTAATAAATGGCTAATTACTTCTGACCATCCACTCATTAGAAATTACACTTTTAAAACATATAAATATTTTTTCTACTGCTGATGGCAAAACGAATCTCATGGAATTTTGCTGATTTTTCTCCTTTGTGGTTTATACTTACTACTGTAGAAAAAAATTAACCAAATATTTTTTATTTTAATGTTAAATTTTCTGGGCCCACAGTATACATATTGAATCATTAAACCATTTACCACCTAGCACTTTATTTTAGCAAATTTTATCTTTGAAATTCATAATAAAAAGGGTAGCTAATGTTAGTAACAGTCATAGTCTCCAATTTCCAAGTAATCAATAAAGTAAATTTTAATAATCAGAAAATGGCATCCAAGACCCATGAAACCTTATTATCATCGAAGCTTGACACTGTTTATACATTTGAATTAAAATGTTTAAAAACTAGGCAGACATCGACATCGATTATTTCTTACCTCTGGCCTACAAATAGGTATTTTACCCTTTAAATAACTTTAAATAAGGTTCCATTAGGAGAAGATACTCATTTTCATTCATTGCTATTTATGAATATAAGCCATAAAATAAAATATAATAAGGAGATAAAGCAATGACATCACAGATAAAAGGTCAGTTACGCACAGGCATAACCTAAGAAGAATGTAATTTAACACAAGCAATAAATATTGGTACATTTAAAATGTACTAAGTATCTATGGTTCCATAATTAGGTGGTAAATAAGCACCAGTATAGAAGGCTTCTTACTTCTACTATCAATCTCTCTTTTTCGAAATACTTTCTGTATCCTACTAAATTACAGATTTTTTCACATATTTGCGAGATTTATAGAGAAAGGAAAATTAGTCTAACTACAAAACTGTTATTATTTCTGGCTGACAAATGAACCTAAAAGTAGATTATAATTAGTGATTTTCAACCAGTGTGCCACAAAAATTTTTAAAACATCCAATACCTACCTAACTATCTTAGTCAGGGGCATTGACCCCTTTTTCCTTAGGTTGTCAAAAAGAAGGAAAACAGCCAACACAGTAATAACTGTTTAATGTGAATAAATTGAAATTATACCTATTTTTTGTCAGATTGGCAAAAAACTACATTTTTTGGTGTGCCACAGAATTTTAGCATTAGTTGATGTGTGCCACGAGATGAAAAAGGTTGAAAACCGCTATTATGATCTAATGTATCAAGACGGCAATTCCCAATTATTACCACATGGGGTCAAAGTTCATGGGAGATACTGGAAAATAAGAAAAGGTTATTCAAAGGGTAAAATACCTAGGTTACATGCAAAAGAAACGAAGTAGTAACTGAAAAAATGCAGTATCCAAGGAGAAAATGAAGAAGACAAAGAAAAAGTAACAATAGTAAAAATAAATATTTCAAACCACCTATCCAAAGTGTGAAAAGGAAGAAAAAAGATTGAACTATAATAACAGGGAAAAAAAATTCCCCAGTCTTAATAAAAACTTAGTCATTTTGACTTAAAAGACTGAAGCTTTACTAATCTCAAGCAAATACCACAAATAAGCACAAAATTAGCCTTCAACCAATCCTCGTCTATCATAAATTATACATTGAGTAACATTATTGAGTGTAAATTAACATATTATAAAACTCAGCTACATAGTATGATATAGTGTAAGCTATATGATTGTTTTGTTTAATGATCTGAAGTAAAGGAAAAAAACTGAGTCTTGCCCCCAAGTAGGGGTGGGGAGGTGAGGCGCCAGAAACCCGAACATTGCAATGAAGTAGAAAGCGTGGTTTCTGCTGGGAAAAAATGAACCTTCCTCGTGACAACTGTCACAACTAAAATGTTGTTAAACCCCATGCATGTACGTGCACGATGATCTTTACATAACGTATCTTTGGTAAATTATCTCCTTTCTCAAAAAAGAAGGCTTTTCCTAATTTCATGTTTTTATTAATGCCTCATGTAAGATTTTTTTAAAGCAGACAAAACAGTCCAGGGCACAGATATGATGACCCAAGGATATTTTCCCCATCCTGACTACTGCCAGGTTATTGGCTGAATTTATATTCATTATTCAGTCAGCCTTTATTATATAAACTAATAGAGAACCGTGACATAGATAAACCAAAATTTAATGTGATAAGGAGAATCAATTTAATCAAAATTACCTGTCAGCCTAAATCTTTCAATATAATTGTCCCCAACTAAGACAAAATAACCAAAGGATCACACTTTAAAAGATGTAAATCCTATATAATTGAGTCCCGTGGAAAAACACTTTAATTAGGCTAGAGGCGAAACAGCTGCAGGGGTGAGACTTTCCTCCCCGACACTCACGGTTTCTTATCTCCGTTACTAGGCAGGAAGGCTTTGCCTAGATTTTTTTTGGCTTCTTCCATCATGTTCCGTCTCCGCACTTGATTCAGACTGACGTAGCCTTCACCCTCAAAAACCCTCACAAAATGGGGATCAAAATAGCCAGCCTGGAGACTGGACATTACTTTCGACCCCCCGGGCAGCATCTGCCTTTTCCTGCTGGCAGCTTCATTGAAGGGTCCTTTAAAGACAAGTTAGGAATGTCAGAATTCTGAGCTCACCAGTAATTAAAGAACATGAAAAATAACTTAGAAAAGTTTCAAAATAGGACGTGGGCCACTGAGTTTTGGGACCTAAAACCTGTTTCAAAATGTTCACTTGAACGCTCTGCATGAAAGGCCGGGTTGACAATAAGACCTAAGAGGGTTGCATTAAAAGATATGAATAATTAGATTAAGGTCCTGGTTGTAGACTGTGAATTTCAGAGGTGGAAGAGACCTTAGAGGTTACCTAATCCAATGCTTGTCCATCTTGCATACTGGGAAACACTGTTTGTGTGAGAGGTGTGTGTGTGTGTGTGTGTGTGTGTGTGTGTGTGTGTACAGGCTGAAGAGAGGGTGTTCCACACTCAGACTGAAACGGTTTCCCTCCCGGGTATATATATACATACACATGAGTGCCACTGTCCACTAAAAGACATGAATAAGAATGTTCATAGTAAGGTTATTCCTTATCACCAAAAACAAGAAACAGTTCAAATGCCCATCATCAGGAGAACAGATAAATAAATTGTGGTATATGTATACAATGAAATATTGGATTGGCCATGGCCAAAAAGTTCGTTTACTTTTTTCCACACGATGGCTCTAGTAGCGCTCAGTTGTCTTCAACTTCATTCGAAACCATGCTATTGGCTTGGGTTGCGACAGCCGTCACATCAGTGTGCATTTAAAAAAATCAAAATTGGTGAATTTTTGTGCAGCCATTTTAATATTGAAGATAGAAGAAAACATTCAATATTTTTGGCGTATTATACCTTACTATTTCAGGAAAGGTGAAAATGCAACTGAAATGCAAAAAGAAAGTTTTGTGCAGTGTATGGAGAAGATGCTGTAACTGATCAAACATGTCAAAAGTGGTTTGCAAAGTTCCTTGGTACTATTGCTCTTTTACCCAAATAATTCTCTGCTGTGGGGCTGTCTGATGCATTGGAAGATATTTAGCAGCACCCCTGGCCTCTACCCACTAGAAGCCAATATCAGGAGATAGCTGACATACTCAAAATGCCCAAATCAATAAAGATATTGGTGAAAATGAAAAGTGTATCCTTCATTTTATGAAAAAAACTAAATGGGCTTTTTGGCCAATCTAATAATAGTAGCCCTAAAAATGTTTAAAGTCTGTTTCCATGAATATTTAGAACTTCTTTTATAATTTGGATCAGTTTGGCAAGTCCTCAGTAATGTAAATCATTTTTTGAAGTGCAAACAATCTTTCAATCAACTGGCTATTTAAGTGAGAAGTTGTATAATTGATTTTTTCACTTAGATGTTTTAAAAGTAATACATTCACATGGTTCAGAATGCAACAGTATAAACATTTTTACAATAAAATGTTTATTGTAAAATAGGCAATCATGGTATTAACTTGTTTCCCAAAGAATGTTGAGGCATGTTCCAATAAATATTTTCATATTCTTCTCTATTTTTAATGCTCAGCATACTATATATACCATTCTGCAACTTAATTTTTTTAATAACATATCTTGGAGGTATTTGGTATCAGTATATTCTTTCTTACTGTTAAATAGAAGTCATCGAATAGCCAAAAATTTAACTAAGACTTTGGAAAGGTTTGTTGACTTTAGCTTTTACTATTTCTGACTCTCCTAAAAATTCCTCAGCTATTCATTTAGCATTTTTCATTTTTCAAGAAGGGATGGTGGATGGCCTTTTCAGGTGCAAATATAAAGGCTATTTGCCTACTAAAGTGTGCCATTTAAGAGAAAAGAAGCTAAAAAAGAGTATTCTGGGAGAAAACTGCCATGAAACCTTGGAAAGCAGTAAAATTACCCATAAGTAGAGTTATAAGGGTAGGGTAGCCCAATGAAATGAGCTTCCTGCTCTTAGGAAATGATAGTCTCTTAATGCTATGGAAATTACACAGCTTTATTCCACTACAGTACTAATACTTTAAAATATGGACCATTAAAATTATCATTTAACTTAAATATTGAACGCAAACTTTCATACAGGAAATGTCTACTACTGGGCTGCAAAGAAAACCACACTTACGATTAAATGGAGACTCGTATTTGTCGCCGACGGTGACATAGCTCATCTCACTGAAGAGGCCGATCCTCTCCATGTCCGTCTTCCCTCCTTCCGCAGGCATGGCTGCTTCCCGGGCCCGTGCTCTCTACGTCCACACCTGCAAAGGGTCCCTTCGGGCTACTTCTGCTACAGCCCCAATCTACCTTACAAGGAAAAGCACAGAAAGAACGTTTAGAAAGATGGTGATTAATAAATTTCAGCCTAAATCACTTTTCGTCTGAAAAGTTAACATTCTCTAAAAAGCAATAGTCCCAAACTATGTGGGGAAAGACTCTACTCTGGGGGCTGAGGGGGGAATAATGAGATTCAAAATTATCACCATGAGCCCTCCTCTTCGCTTTCCAGGTAAAATATCCAGAAATTACTAAGTGTGTGTGACAGCATTGTCGCACTGCCGTCCAACTGTTGTAAATGATAAGGTTATTACTGTTGACTGAGGCACAGAGACTGTGCAAACAGCACCCTTTGAGTTCCACTTAGAATTAAAAGTCATAATGAACTAAGGCAGGCATTTTCAGTTTAGAGCAAATGACTTCAACATACTGCATTGTCCCTCATACTGAAAATTAAACTTAGCTTTTCAGAATGCACAACACATACAGGTAAAACCCTACAGTTCTTGAGTTTTTTCAAGTTTAAGGGGAGAGAGAACAATCGTCTAGACAAGATAAAAACAAAGAACAATACCAACAAAAATCTGCAATGAATTCAAAGTATCTGTAAAAGGGTAGACTGTAACTGTGATTACCTTTTGAAATATCGCATTGAATGTGCAACGATTTACTTAGATATTAATTTTTTACTTAGGCTTGTTCTAAAAAAAGAGAACCAACGAGATAGGAATACTTGCCTCCGTTTCCTCTTACATAGCGTTTCTGAAGCACCAACGTGATCTAGGCACTGGGCATCCATTAGTGAAAAAATCAAGCACTGACTTGTGCCTTCAATATACAGGAAGTTGTCAATGACACTAAACTTGTCTATTTGGAACTGAGGCTCGTCTCAGGATGAATCACTGCTAATGTGTAATATCAAAGGGGCACGTGAAGAGTCCAGTTAAACTAAAACGAAGGAAATACAAGCCCTTCCCCTCATCCTCCTTCTTCCTCTGGTCGGAAGTAGTAGAGAAGTTCATACGTTTTTTTAAAGGCTAGTGGTCAGCCCCCTGGAGTGCACTACTTCGATTTGCGCGGTATTTCAAAGCAAAGCTCCATGCCCACTGCCCACCCACCAAGCTCCCTGTGCTGTTACAGGGGCTCCCAAGGCCGCTATCACCCTCATGTGTCGCCATGGGGACCCTGCTCCCTGGGCTGCTGCACTTGCCTTCCTTCAGCTCTCAGGTTGAGCCCTCCCCTGTCCCAGGACCAGGACACACTCTCTGTCACTTTAGGCAGGACTTCACTGTGCCACACCCTTCCGTTCCCTCAATGAACACTGAGCCTTCGTATTCTTTGGTTTATTCATCATTGCTTTAATTCCCTCTATCACAGCCGCACGTGCTTCTCTTTCCGTGTCCTCACGATTATGGGTTATCATCTTACATCCACATTAACAGCTCTGCCCCATCCCGCCCCCCCCCCCCCCGCCCACACACACACACTCAATTGTTGGCTCCACAAAGGCAGGAACGAGGATTGAGTCTGGTTCTCCGCACTATACTCCCCGCGTCTGCGCAGCACCGGGCGCAGCAGCAGAGCGTGGGAAGTTTTCCCACTCTTTAACTCAACTTGAGCAACATCTACAAAATCATTCATTCGTGTATTTAGCAGAATCTTTGCAAACCCCTCCCCTGGGTAAGGCTCGCTGAGAAAACTGAGATTTTAAAAAGCATGGATGTTGCCCTCAGAGAGTTTATACTCACTCTAGTAGAGAAGTTCATAGTTAAGTATAACACTCCTGGGACGGGGATAAAACAGGTGTTGGGGGGAGGGCACACGAGCGGCAGAAAACTCCTGGCTAACCTGATGAGGAAAGCGATTTCCCACTAGGAAAACTGAAGCTCGGAGTGGGTAGGTGTATACAAAGGACAACACCTGGCGGCCACGAGGACCAAGTCCCCTCCCAGAAGGGCACTCAATCCGACGACCGATCTCAGGTCGTCTCAGCTCCGGGGCAGGTTAACTCAGCGGCGGGAGCGCAGAGGGCTGCGAGCAAGCCCTGCGCTAGCGCTTCCCGCGCAGGGACCGGCCGGGATGGGCCACCGCACCTCCGCCGCTCCGCGGGTGTTTGTTGTGACCGATGCCTCGGGTACGGGAGACTCCATTCCAAGGACGCTACAGGGGGCCCATGGAGGTTTCGAACTCGCCACGAGGACCACAGAGTCCTCATGAGTGGACTCCACATGAGTGGAGCGGGATACGAGTGATTCCACCAATAAATTTACTTGTAAATTTTAATGAAATTTATTTTTATGTTAATTACAAGACTTCTTTCTGCCCCTTCACCCGCGGAGAGCTGGAGTGTGGCACTCCCGTGGCGTCACTGCAGGGCATGCTGGGAGTTGTAGTCGGCCTTCCCAGGCCCCGCCCCCCGGATGACGACACTTCTAGACCAGCCTCCCGAGCAGGTGGGGCGGACGTCAGCGCCTCTGTGACCGCCACGTCGCAGGCATGGTGAGTACCTGCGCTAGCCACCGACCCCTGCGTTTCCCCGCGGACTTCAGTAACCGCCACGACTACGGCTCCAGAGCCCTTGAAAGGAGCTGGTCCTCCCGGGGCCCCCGATGGCAGCCGCGAACCCCACGGCCTGGCCTGCCCTGTGGTCGGCCTCCCCGCTCGGGCCGGAGGGGACACTGCCCCGCACCGCGTTGATCCCCAGCTCCTCCGCATTTGGCCACGCGCCTCCTCCTGCGCGTGAATGCATTTTGAGGACGAGGGAACACTCGGTGCTTTTGAAGGTTTGAAGAAGTATTGGACCTGGGAAAGGCGAATAACTTCCTTCAAATACTCTGTTCCCTCAATTCCATTGATGTCACACTTCCGGTTTCCCTTGCAATTGCTGGGCCAGGTCCTCCATCCAATCCCTACCCTGCACGCCGTGGTGTTCTTCAGGGACACTTTTCTTTACACCTTGTGCCTTCTCCCAAATTCGTGTCTCCAGCTCAGATCTCTGTTTTGAGCCCCAGATCGGCCTATCCACTGGCTGTCCCTGCAGCGGGATCGTTCACGGGTATTTCCGGCTCAGCAAGGTCAAAACCGACTCATCATTTCCACCTCCTCTCATCCCACCCCTGCTCTTCCTCCAGTGATCCCATCTCACTTAACCGTGCCCGCATCCACCCTCTTGTGCATCAAAACCCTGGGTGTCATCCTTGACATCTTCGTCTCCTCGGCTTCTGAGCATCTGACCAGTGATCAAGTCCTGCAGCGTCCACTTCGAAGTGGCCGTAAATTCTCCCTCTCTGTGCTCTTACCATCCTAGTGCTCGCCACCAGCATCTAGCCTTCTGCGCAGGCTCTTCCGTGGTCCTTTCAGCGGGCCCGGAATGCGCTCGCACGGACCCAGCCCCACCTTTCCTTTGGAATTGTCGTACTTGTGCCTGCCCACCCCTCAGATCTCAGCTTAAATATTATTACTGCTGGGCAAGTCTAGGGGGCGCCTAGTGCTTTTACATGAGATCTTTTATGGAATCTGCACAACCATCCTATGAGGTTGTGCATTTTTCCAGTTTTACTGAAGAGTACAGGAGACTTCAGTCATTAGTTAAATTGTGCAAAAGCGTACAGTAAGTCACCAAGGCTCTTGACATGTCTTTTTAACTTGTATCTTCTTCAGGATCTCTCATTGCCATCAAATGTTTTCCACTCAAATGGGTGCCTACTATATTGTATGGTAGTATTGTTCTCTGTTTTACCAACCTCTTAGTGGTAGCTATTTAGGTGGTTTTTTTGTGGGGGAGGGGTTGCTATGATGAACAAGAGTATGGTAAGTGGACAGTGTTGAAGCTAAATTTGTCTTGAACTTAATGCCGTAGCCTAAACTCGGGTAGACTGTAATGTACATGAGGATGAGCTTGTTTGGCTCCACAGTGGAACTTTGGTTTTATGTGTCTTAGGTGACTTCAGACACCACGGATATACTCTTCAGAATAAGGGGAGGCCTTGATCTAGCCTTCCAGCTGGCTGCTGCTAATGGTAGGTCTGCCAGAAAACTCTCTTTATTATAAAATTCATAATGAACTGTACTGACATTCTCACCAATCTGCAAACGAAACTGAATGGGAGCTATGTCCCAATTAGACAAATTTATCAAGACAAAAAGATTAGCAGTTGCTGTTGGTAAGTGTCGGGGGAATAGGGAAAGACCACTGATAGATACGGTGTCTTTTGGGGTGTTGGAACTGTTCTGGAATTAGAGAGTAATGATTGTACAGCCTCATGAATACACTAAAATCAACTGAATTGTACTTGTTAAAAGAATGAATTTTATGGTCTCTGAAATGTATCTCAATGTTTAAACAAGAAAGGCAAAAAATTTTTAATAATTATGGAATCTGGGGAATGGATATCTAGGAGCCAATTTTACTCCTACTTTTGGGTATTTAGAAGCATTTGTATTGAAAAGTTTAAAATTTTTCTAATTCTATTTATATTCTTTTAATTTAGAAGTTTTTATCAAGAAAGCACTCAATCATGTGTTGAGTGACCTGTCCACCAGGCTTGCTTCGGACGCACTGGTGCTCAGAGTTCGCCACAGCTCAGTGTACGTGTGGCCGAACAGTGACCAAAACACGGTGCCAGGAGAACTGACTGATGGTTCTGCTTGTAAGACCATCATGCGCTTTATCCAGTGAGTGCCTTTGAAGATCGCCATCAATGTTTTCAATGTGTAATTGCATATGATAAACATCTTTGTGTATTCAACATTTAGATTTGAACAGGAAGAAGATACAAAACGAAAATTCATGAAAAAGAAAGACAAAAAGTTATCCAACATGGTAAGCTAATCACCTGTCTTCTTAGTGGTAAAAATTTTAAATCCTTGAATTTGGAGTTGAGATCTTAGAAATTATTTCATCCACCTCTCTTAGTTTTTACAGATCAGATCATTGAGGTCCAGAAAGATAAATGATTTTCCAGAAGTTACATATTTCTTTCCATTTCTAAACTCCTGTCCCATTATAACACGTAGCTTAAAAATTTCTGAACGCTTTCTTCATTCCCACAAAAACAGCTTGAACACATTTACAAATTATTTAAAATTAAATAAATAGGAATCATTCTGAAACATGCAGTGCATACTGTGCTATGTGACATCGTCAATAAAAATGATTTACTTTTCTTCCCACTGTTCTGGCTTCTGTTGACTTTCAAACCCGGACTGTTGAGAGCCTGCCTGCCATGTGCTGCGGGCTCTGCCCAATACTGGAGAGGAAAACTGGGGCTACTTCTTCGAGGCGGGTAGTGATACAAAAGGAATGTGACAGTAGTGGATTTCCAGGCCGGGAGGGGACAACGGGGAGGACACGTCAGGAGAAGCCGAACTAAACTAGCAGCTGTGGGGACAGAGAGGAGGGAAAGGAGACAAGAGGTCCTGAGGGGACACAACGCATGGCGCCCGGAAACCAGTGGGACGCGGGGTGACCAGTTTCCTGCTGGAGTGAAAACGGAAGTTGGGGGAGGCATGGGGGTCGGTTGGGCTCGGGTTATGTTTGAGACACCAGTGAGGTGTCCACATGAGCTGTCTTACCAGTCTGGGGTGCGCACAGAGATTACGAGCTGTAAGTCATTGTTTGGGAATTGCCCATATTTGCAGCTTGGCATTCTAAGGAGCGCAGGCCAGTTATTCTGTAGAATGTCCCTCGGTGCGGGTTTGTGCTATTCTTCCTCGTGAACAGGCTCGGGTCATGCATGGTCGGTGGGAACACCACGGAGGTCAGGTTGTGTTCTCCCGAGCACATCGTGGTACAGAGACGCATGTCACCGGTTTGCTCCTAGGGCCGGTGACGGTAACTTCGACCGCTTCGCGTGTCTGCCCCTTCTCTCCACTGGGAGGGTACCGTGCTTTCCCTTTGGTCAGGAGGAGTCTCATGGAAAGATACTTCGAGACTACGTGTATACTCTGTTCCTCATCAAATTTTTACATACCACTTTTAGCATCAATTGATAATTCTTGCCAGAATCCAACAGTAATCTGACAGTTGCAAAGTGGTGATTTTTCTACCATTTCCTTCCTTATTCGTTAGATACCATTGAAAGCTCTTCCTTGTCCTTGTTTATGTAGTTTCTGCACAGAAGCATGGATTCTTGTTTTATGCAGTGAGTTATAATCTGTTGCTATTCTTAGTTATGCCGAGGCTCTCATTGTCCGAGATTCGGCCCATGGAAGCTTCTGCAGGCTAGCTCCAGTGTTCTGCTAACACTGTGTTTCCAGTACTCCCTCGCTTCCTGCACAAGCTCTGGCAGGCGCTTCCTGTACTGTCCCTGTTCCAACACAGGAGTGAGCCGTTTCTCCAAGGAGCATCCTCATGGATGAGTGAATCCATACTATTCACACACATACACACACGCACACACACTTACCTATGCAGTCACTTTATACCCCCACTCCATTTTGGCCTCACACACTGCCTACCCTTTTCCTGGCAGGAAACCCTGCCTCCAGCGTCCTCAGATCGCGCAACATGTGTCCAACACACAAAGAGTGTTTTCAGAATTCTTGTTTCACGCCACTGTCAAAATCAATCCTTACTAATCAAATTCAATATTTGTTTATAGTTCTTTATGTCTTTACAGCTGCAGTATTGACAGATATAGTTTAAAAGTTCCTTTAGTGTTGTTTACTGTATCTTGTTTGTTTGATTTTTTTAAAAAAATTTAAGTCTATACAAAAGTCAAGAAAACAGCATAATGAATCCTGGTGAACCAGCTCTAATGTTTATCAATACACAGTCAGCCTGATTTCATCTTCTTGCCCCACTCACTGCCCACCTCTCCTCAGACTATTCTGAAGCAGAGAGGGATTTTTGTTAAAAATAAGATAAGATTTGGGCTTTTAAACAATTTACTGTAATATAGCTTTGGCCCTTAAAAAGTCCTTCGACTAACGCTTTCATATTCAATGTGCTATAAGTTGACTGTTTATCTTTGTAGAATCAAATAGTGAATATAGATCTTATGCTGGAAATGTCAACCTCTCTGGCAGCCGTGACCCCCGTCATCGAAAGAGAGAGCGCAGGACACCACTACGTCACGATGACGCTGCCCGTGGACGCGGTCGTGTCGGTGGCCCCCGAGGAAGAATGGGGAAAGTAGGTACTTTACGCACCGCATGGCCACCACACTTCCGTGAGCGCCCTGCCCCCCAGTAGCCGGAGTCCACCTTTAAGGACCACTGAGACACATCCAGGGCGGTGGGTGTGGTTTTTAGTATGATTTACTCCCTGTTTTTCACTGTCATCTAGTGATTAAATGTTTATTTGGAGGAAGTAGGGCAACGCCTTTATCCACACAGAGGAAACACAGCGTTTATTGAACTTTTCATAATTTAGACTTCCTTGAGTAATCCTGGTCCAATCAAGTTTCTTTTAATACTACATTAGGGATCTGTTAACTGCACACGTTTTCATTTATCATTTATCATAGGCACTATCACTGTTGTCAATGCACTCGTGTGTGTCCCCCCACAGAGTTCGCAAGCTTCTAGTTGATGCAATTCATAGTCAGCTCACCGACATGGAAAAGTGCATTCTGAAATACATGAAAGGAACCTCCATCGTGGTCCCTGAGCCACTGCACTTTTTACTACCAGGGGAAAGGAGCCTTGTGACAGTTTCGTACCCATCAGGGGTCCCAGACGGGCAGCTGCAGGCCTACAGAAGGGTAAGGCCAGTTCATTCTTCTCAGAAAAAGTGCGACCATCACTCATTTTATATTGGATTGTGTATTTGTAATAAGTGGAAATTACTTTTACAGGGTGGAAACAGGCTATTTGTTTTATGTATTACTTAATTTCTCTATGAATGAAAAAACACGTAAACCCATATGTAACATTTTAATTTTATATGTTCAGTGTGGCTCGTGTGTTCTGTGAAATTTATTATTTCTCTGTAAGAACATAAAGAATTGAAAGGTGCTTCCGTAGCTAGAGAAGCTGATCAGTGTTAACACAATTTCTTTTCCCTTTCACTACTTTTCAGATTTGTGAAAAAGACAAGATTGCAGTCAGGGACGGGGAAATTAGAATTTACGCTAATTCTAGTTAGGATTTATATAACACCCCATCCCTCCCCCATTTCCCAGGGTTTTATTAGAGGCATTTAAAGAAAGCGTGATCACACTCAAAGAAAGGAGACTCACTGGCATAATGACGGTTTCGGAGCATATTTTGGACATGTGGCCTCAGCCGGCACCCTTTAGGGTGTTCCAGGGGCGCACCTCCTCGGTCTCTGAACCGGGGAAGAGCTGCGGCGTTGTGACCCCTGCACGGCTCTGTGCTGGGCGAGCTGATAGGTGCAGGCGTCGGCTGCACGAGCTGATGGCCCCTCCAACTGCCAGAGTACACAGGAGATTTGAAGAAGAACATTTCAAAATTTTCAGAGTAACTCCTACATATTTTTATACAGTTGGGAATACTTACACATTTTCAACACGGGTTTATTTCAGTGCTATATTGATTGGTGTCATAATACCAGTGTCTTTTTCCCCCCAAAAATGGCTCATTTTTATTGGGAGCAGAAATTCTGACTGGCCATAGCTTTAGTAGTTGATTATGTAAATTCACAAATAGCCCAAAAAATGTGTGCTTACAAAGCTCTGATTGCTGAGAGAAAACAAGGGCTCAGAAACTCCCAGAATCTCTCAAATATACAACCACATGTACAGCTTCATTCCGTAGCTTCTTTTTCTTCCCAATCTTTTCCGCCTTTGCCCCCCTCTGCCCATCCCACCCTCCACTGCCCATCCCACCCCCCACTCCCACAGCCAGTTCCCACACGGTTGCCCAGGTCCGTGGGGGATTCATGCGTGGTCTTTGACTAGTCCCTCCCCCTTCTTCCCACCTTTCTGCTCCCCTCTGGTCACTGTCAGTCTGCCCCATGTTTCCGTGCCTGTGGTTCTGTCTTCTTTAGTTTATTTTGTTCACGAGACTCCTCTTAGAGGGGAGGTCGTATGGCACTCCTGCTCTTTGCAGCACCGTGGCTGGAACTGGACAATGTTACGCTAAGTGGAATAAGCCAGTCAGTGAAAGAGAAACACCGTACAACACCAATTTCTACTCTGAAATTTAATCACCGCCCCTTATACTTGTTAAGCACTGTAAGCATGATTGTTTTTAACTTGATTTTAGAGAGAGGGGAGAGAGAGACATCGATCGGCTGTTCCACGTGTTCACACGTCATTGGTCGATGCTTGTCTGCGCCCTGACCGGGGGTCAAACCCACAAGCTTGGCGTAGCGGGAGTGACGCCCTAAGCAACCGAGCTTCCCGGCCAGGGAGAGCATGGCTTTTCAAAACACTTTAAAATAACTATGTGAGTGTTATTCATAATTTACTCATTTACAGGGCTGTTTCAAAACCAGTCGTTATCCTGGGCATATTGTCACGGACTGTGTTATAATAGGTAATTAATTTTATTTTAAATTATCTTAGTGCTCTCACGCTTATCAAATTATTTTCATTTTTCCATGTTCCCTTCCAGTTTCTGCCCGTACACACAGATAAGCAAAAATAAATCTGTTTGGTTTTAGTTTATGCTCGCCCTCTTTGACTTGAGCGAATTAAACCATAAGTGTGTTTGATAACTTTTATAACCGATACGTAGTTGATTTTCTGTTTTATATCTTTAGTTTGAGTTTATTTACTAGATAGAAATGTAAATCATTTCATTTGTTTCCTGTTCTATCCTATCGATTCTGACTTCATCTAGGAACTACACGATCTCTTCAACCTGCCGCACGACAGGCCTTATTTCAGAAGGCCTAATGCCCACCGCTTTGCAGATGAGCCGCACAAAGACGGTTACATTAGAAATCCACACGTGTATCTCAACCCACCTAACCTAGAGGCTGGTATGGTGAGTTTAATCATTATTTCTGGGAGTCGATTAATCATTAACGTCATCGGTTTCTTGTTTGCACCAGTGGGATTTGTTAAGAGTTGATTCATAATGTATGTCATCCCTAAAACATAATTCACCATCCATTTCTTTTAATAATCAGTTGCCTAAGATAGCAGTAACTGACGGTGGTCCAAAAAGGTCCCTGTAGATAGTATGCACCACATTTGCCGTGCTAAAATTCCATTCCCTGTTCTCTCTAGAGGCGTGTCCCGTTTTACTTCCATTCTGTAGCTGAGAAATCGTGCTAATTAAGGGCATATTCTGCCCACTCACACTGTAGCAGGAGTCTGACAAGGTACTACAGAGTGTTTTCTGCGCCGCACATACCTGGTTGCAAGGGTGATCTTCACTCAAGTTGCTAAGAACTAAGGGGCATGGGGAAGGGCTCCGGGATGGACCCGTGCAGGCCAGTGAGAAAGGATCATGTGACATCAAAGAGAGAATCAGAAGAGTGTTTGCACAGCTGGGCCCCCAGAACAAAGCAGCTGCCGCTGCCTCAGGCTGCCTCAGGCTCGGGTCTTTGTTGGCGCTTGGGCGGCCCTTCTGCTGCTCTGTCTGCTTTCGATCCTGGCTGGCCCGTTCCTTCCCTTCCCTCTGTCTTTCCTCAGCCTCGTGCTTCTGTGTCCTCGCTGTTTCTGCCTCGCGCCCCGCCCCTTTCTGCCCCTCAGTCTGCACCCTCAAACTCCCAGGGCCGCAAACTCAACTGGCCATCTTGTCGTGGCAGTTGCTCAGTGCCTGCTGGGTCTCGGGGTGCTTTGTAAGGAAATCTTAAGTAAAAATGAATACATGATGCAGAGCGTAGCCCAGGGGAGTCAGAGGCCCACGCGGTCCTGGCTGCCAGAGGGCGTCGGACGGCAGGGCCGTCTGGGCGGAGCGGCTCCCCGCAGGAAGACCTGGCTGGACACTCGCGTTGCTGCTGCGCGCAAGTGCGTCTTTGGTCAGTGTTTCAGTGATGCCACACGGTTCCAGTCCGTTTGCTTGCGAGACCCACAGTGTTTCTGGCTGAAAATCTTGCTGTCAGTCACAGAATCACAGAATCCCGGAGTAGGAAATACAAAAGTTAGAGTCTCAAACAGTATAACTCTTGATGGTTTTCTAGCAGATCATTACACAAATGCTTTCTCAGGCTATATTCGGAACTCCTCTAGGGTAGATATTGTTATCATATATTGATTTAATTCCTAATAGTTTCTTATAAAGTGCCAGCTACTCAGAAGGTACTGGATAAACGCTGATTGATTTTTTACAGTGAAATGGGTTTACTGTTTCTATTAGAGAGACACAAGAAGCATTTGTCTATTTTTAAATATGTGTGATACAACATTGGATATGTGTCTGTAACATACGTGTAAGTTGTAAAGCGCAGTGAGGAAATGAACGCTGGAGCGCCCCCTACGGGATTTCAGAAGCAGCACGTGACCGGTCTGTGTGCTCCTTCCCTGCCCCCCAGAGGAACTGTCCTGCCGAGTTATGTGTCCATCAGTCATCCCCTTCTTCTCTTCTAACAGTTCTGCCATATGCGTCTGTGTTTCCTCAACAACGTAGCTCTTCGTTTTGCTTCCTGGTGAGGTCTTATTAAAAGCGCCACTGTGTCTGTGGTCTTCTGCAGCCTGCTTTTTCACTCCGCGCTCAGTGTCTCAGATGTGCCCGTGGCCGTGTGTCGGTCTCAGCCATCCTTAGTGCTGCACAGGGCGCCTCCGTGCGATGTTCCCCGGGCTGTTCGCTGCTCGGACAGCCCTGCTGCCGTCGGTCCTGGTCACGTTTCTTGTTACATATGTTCGATAATTGTCAGCATTTACTTAACTTACTTCATTTCTCTCTTTTTCTCCCCTTGAGTCATTTCAAAGAAAATTGCAGACAGCCTGCCATTTACCCTACGAACTGCAGCACAGACCTCCAGACAATAGTAGATTTGCATCCATGGGATGAACCTAGTTTGTTTATGATTATTATTTTTTATTTTCTGCTGGATTTAGTTTGCTGATAGTTTTGTTAAGATGTTTGCATCTAAGTTCATGAATGATGCTGGCTTATACGAGGGGGGATCCAAAAACAACAGACTTTATTTATGAAAAATTATTTATTTATTCTTACATGTTTAAACTTAAGTCATTTTCAAAGTACTCCGCATTTGATGCCGTATACCTTTTGAGATGTTTTTATTTCACTGCTCAGAACAGTTTTTGAACTTGTCAATTTTGATGCCCTTTAGTGCTTCTGCCATTTTTCATTTCACCTCTTCCACATCGGCAAAATGTTTCCCTTTGAGGACTTTTTGGGGAAACAAAGAAACAGTTGCTTGGGGCAAGGTTAGGGGAATAGGTAGGTCCTGGGGGTCATGTCATTTTTGGTCAAAAACTGCTGAGCACTCAGCACAGTGTGGGTGTGCGCTCATAAACCACCCTGTCATGAAATGGGCAAAGACATTGAAAGAGTCTTCAAAGCTACTGAAGCCAAACGCAGCCTCTCACAACAACACCAGCTGGCACACTGATCCAGATGGGTTCCCAGAATACTCACTCAGCCAGCCCACCCTCCAGAAAATAATTCTATTTTTTTTTGTGGGGGTTCCCCCTTGTTAATTTTTTTCTCATACTGTTCTTAATATTTTTTATCAATATACCAGCAAATTGAAAGAGTTGGGTAGTGTTCTTTCTTTTTTTTTAAAGATTTTATTTATTTATTTTTAGAGAGGGAAGGGAGGGGGAGAGAGAGAGAGAAACATCAATGTGCAGTTACTGGGGGTCATGGCCTGCAACCCAGGCATGTGCCCTGACTGGGAATCGAACCTGTAACACTTTGGTTCGCAGCCCGCGCTCAATCCACTGAGCTACGCCAGCCAGAGTGTTCTTTCTTTTTTTAACTTTCTGGAGGAGTTTATATAAGATTGGCATGATCTTCTCTTGATCATTTGGCAAAACTCACCTATAAAACAATCTGGGCTGAGCTTTTCTGCGGGAAGATTTTAATAGCATTTAATTTTGTTAATGGTTATAGAGCTTTTTCACTTTTGTAAGTTATATTTACCTAAGTTTTAGTCTTTGTTGTAGTCATAATGTTTTCTTTTTCAATCATTTCATTTTTATGCCTTTTTTTAAAAAGTTTTGGCTTTTTGACCCCCTTTATTGCAATTTTTGTATTCTAGTTCACTAATTTTCACTGTGTATTTTCTTCTTCCTTTATTTTCTTTGATCAATGCTGTTTTTCTTCTTCTAAATTCTTGAGTTGGCCACCTAGCTTATTGTCAGTCTTCCTTATTTTCTAATTTAAGGTTTTAAATTTCAGTGTAAACATTGCTTTCACAGGTTTTAATTTGCCATATTTTAGTTTTATTCATTTGCAAGTATCTTTATGGGTTTTTTAACCCATGTGTTATTTAGAAGTGTTTTTTAACATCCAAATCTATCAGAATTTATTTATCTATTTAGTTAGTTACATGGATATTTTTACTGATTCCTGATACTTGCCTACTGGTCAGAAATAATTTCTACACAATACAGACTCTAAAATATATTGATCCTTACATTTATTTCCTATGGATGCTATAACAACCACAAATTCGATGGCTTAAAACTATAAAAGTGTGTTCGTTCTCATTTCTGGAGGCCAGAAGTCAGCATCAGTGTCGCTGGGCCGAAATCAGGGTTCTTCCAGAGGTTCTCGAGGGGAACCCCCTCGACTCTTCCAGAGTCTAGCGGCCGCCAGCTCCCCTTGGCCTGCGGCCGCATCACTCTGATGTCTGCCTCGGTGGTCTCGGTGCCTTTTCCTCTGTCGCATTTCCTTCTGTCTCTCTCTCACAAGGATGCTTATGGTTGCCTTTAGGGCCCACCTGGAAAATCTCCCCATCTTAAGAGCCTTATATGTAATCACATCTGTAAAAACTAAGATAGCATCTGTAGGTTCCAGGGATTAGGATATAGATATCTTTTGGGGACCATTTTTCAGCCTACCACAATGGTCTAGTTAGAAATCTTCTACATGTGCCTGAATGTATATCTGCTCATTATTCAGTGAGGATTCTATATTTGTCTATCACTCTTCTTATCTAATTTTTTAAAAATGCCAGTTTATCAAAAAATATGTGTATTTTTAGCATGACATGACAAGAATTTATAAGATATTGGTCCTTATTTAAGGATCCTTAAATAGCATACCTGGGTTATAATCATGGGCAGGCTTACAAAATTTCAGAAACACCTATTAGATCCTGTTATATGGACCCTTCATCATTCCTTCCTTCCTTCCTTCATCATTTATTCAACAAGCACTTGCTAACTGTTTGCCAAGTTCATTGTAGAATCTTGGGCTCAGAAGTAAATAGGACACACTGCATGCCCCTGTTGAACTCAAATACTAGTGCGGGTAGGCAGCTTTTTAAAAAACTAGTGAGTGGTGTGTCAAGGAGTGCTGTCTCAACAGAGGAATCAAGCAGGACAGAGAGTGGCCGCCAGAGCAAGGGTGGGCGGCAAGGGAGCAAGCCTGCCATTTGTAGGGTTGGATGATTGGGGATGCCTCTGACATCCGAACGGAGACCCGAGAGAGGTAAAGGTGCAAGCTCTAAATGATCTGGGAAAAGAGCATTCCGGGCAGAGAGAACCATGAGGCTCTGATGTCAGGCTGCCCCTGGCCTATCTGAACTTGAAGCAGGGCGAGCCACAGGGGAAAGCAGCAGGAGGTCAAGTTGGGGAGAAAGCAGCAGGCAGGACTTGCCAAACTTACAGCCCTCGATGAGGACTTCGGGCAGTTCATAAAAAGCCAGGCGAGTCTAACATTCAGCTGTAGCTCCGTGCAGGCACTTTTATAGGAAACAAAGCAACGGTCTAGTTCTGAGGACAGGAAACTTGACGCAGGAACATGTGTGTAATGCGTGCCTCTATCTTAGGTCAATGTCTGACTGCACTCCTTCCTTCTTTGCAGGTTTACCTGGTCCAGGGCGTGTATGGCTACCACCATTACATGCAGGACCGCACAGATGACAGCGGCTGGGGCTGCGCCTACCGCTCCCTGCAGACCATCTGCTCCTGGTTCAGACACCAGGGCTACACCGAAAAGCCCGTCCCCACGCACAGAGAGATCCAGCAGGTACAGGGCAAGCCGCTTCACACTACGACCTCAGTATACCAAGGCTATTAATAATCATTACTGCCTCATAGTACAGGCTTGCTTGATTTGAAGGAAAAAAATATTCTGATAATCAGGGAAAATGCCCCATGTGTCATTTTTAATAGCTGTCTTCCGCATGGGGTTGTTTGTTTATTTGTTTGCTTGTCTGTACTTTACATACAAAAAGGCTCTGGTGGACGCCGGGGATAAGCCAGCCACCTTTGTGGGGTCTCGGCAGTGGATTGGCTCCATCGAGGTGCAGCTGGCCCTGAACCACCTCATGGGTGTGACCTCCAAGATACTGTTCGTCAGGTGAGGACACTGGGGGGAGGGGAAGCCACTTCACAGTGAGCCTCCCGTTTGATTAAAATGGGAGAAAAATCCTATCCTTCCCCCACACTTGTTTTCACTGCCCTCTCTTCTTCCCTCGTTGCCTCAGTGCTTTATAAATCTCATTTTTTCACCCTAAATTGTTTTTAGTTAATTGTTAGAAGATTTTGGGGTTTATGAGTAAACTCTGTAATACATACTTATATGGTTGAGGCCTCTTTTTAGCCAAGAGAAAAACTTGGAAATATGTCAACTTCAGGTGTAAAGAAAAATCAAGGTTTTTTATGCTTAAGTCTTCAAAAAGTCTTGAAAGGAGAAAATCAAATGTTGGCTTCTGACTGACCTTTTCATTTACCACCTACACTGTCTCTTCTTAAGATGTTAACGAACTAATCACGTGTCCAAATAGCATATTCATTTCATTTTTCCCAATATAGCTCAGCCATAATGCCAATATTACGATACGAGCAAATCTAAATTAAATAAGGTTGATTTCTGGGATCATAACTAGCTTCCTCCTTTTATGAACTTATGTTTTAAATACTTCTTCTATTATGACAACCTCGATAAACATAGTAACATCACCCTTATTTGGCCACGCACTTCAATACACCTGGTTTCACCGCTGCAGTCTGGACGGGCCGTGGGAATCAGTGCCAGCGAACGAAGGGCAGATCGAACAGTGAAGTGTGTGCTGACTAAAGAGTTTCAGCGCATGAAAACACCGTGCATTCCTTACCGTGCACGAGCTAAGGTTTAACGCCACCCGGCACCTCCGTTCTAGAAAAGCATCTCCATCTGTCCATCTTCCTTTGTCTCCTCAACCGTTGGAATTGCACGGCACAGTGAAACCTTCCCCAAAAGTAATGGTGCAGTTGAAAGCAGTTTGTACTTTTCCCATGGGCTTCACAGACGCCGTCCGTGTTAGTGCTGGGCTCCCCCGTCGCGCAGACAGGGCAGGGGCCGCGGGGCCCGGTGTAAAGGTGAGGAAGTACGGACTCAGGGTCTGGCAGCAGGAAGACAAGAACGCAGGACTGGAAAGGGGCTCTTCTGAAGTTAAATCTGTCCACAAGGACTCCCTGGATAGCAAGGTGACTGCTTTTAACCTCGGGTTAAAAATCCAAGACTTTCTCCATGCAGTTCCAGTGGCCTTAAATGTTTAGAAAGTTTCCATTGCTTTAACTTGCTCTCAGGCAGTTCCCTACCACTTCATTGTATTTAAATTCATATTGTTTGTTTGTTTGTTTGTTTTCACTCCCCCAGCAACCCCCGCCATCCCCACTTCCCACCCCTGATCCTACCCCCCTTTGGTCCTGTCTATGTGTCCTTCCAAATTGTTTCTCCTTTTTAACCACACGGAAAAGAAGTGTATAACACATTGGTCCCTAAGCTCGTTTATATGACCTTCATGTTGGAAGTAATCCCTCTAATGGAAAGCGGTCTCTTCCTAGCCAAGGCTCCGACATGGCCGCCCAAGGACGGGAGCTGGCTCGGCACTTCGAGAGTGAAGGCACCCCCGTGATGATCGGTACGGCTCCCGGGCGTCCGGGCCCTCTGGGGGGGTGGCGGGCGTGTGCAACTCACCGTTCGTGTAAACACTTAATGCCACACGCGATCGGCCGTTTTAAAATCGGCTTTTACACCACACAGACTGACCTCTGGGTATTCGTTTTCAAATGTGCAAGGCAGAAGGAGAGTTATAGAGATTACAGCAACCAGAAGGAAAGGCTAGGAGGAGAAATGATGACTGTGCACACGTATTTAAAGAGTCCGAGGCAGAATGGAGAGGGGGCGACGGCCACTCGCCCGAGCGTCAGCAGTCGGGGCTCTGGCACGAACGCGGCCGCGGTGCTCCGTCACTGCACGCCGCCCTCTCTCTCTCTCGGCTTTATGTGTAAAATAAAAGGACTGGATTCGCTGACCTAAAGACTCGGGACTCTATGAGGAGCAAGACGTACCCTGTGATGCCACAGGGAAGGCGAAACGGGGTGTGTAAGGAACGGAGGGAGGCAGATTTCGGCAGGGTATCAGGAGGAAAGGACCGAGGTGGGGCTGTCTCCGGGGGGTGCCGAGGGCAGAGAGAGCGACACAGTGGTGACCCGAGCTCTGGTGGGAGGGGCCGGGCCCTCTGCGGCCCCTTCTAACTCCAGGTTAGGTCACTCCATGGATGTGGCCACGAAACATAAACCGATGTGATTAGAGACAGGACTGTATCTTTTCTGTCTTTAAGATGCAATTTTATCTTTTTAGAGTACATTTGACATTGTGGTCTTTTACAAGGTAGGTTAGTCCATTTTAACGCTGTTAGAGCAATTAGTAGGCAAATAACCTTTTTAAACTGAAACTGAATAGGGGTGGAGATTAGCGCATGCCCTCTGACATTCCCTATTTTGTCTTCTCCAGGGGGCGGAGTCCTGGCCCACACTATCCTGGGCGTTGCCTGGAATGAGAATACAGGGCAGATAAAATTTCTGATTTTAGATCCCCATTATACAGGCGCTGAGGATCTGCAGGTTATTTTGGAAAAGGTAACACACAAATTTCAATAGAATGCAAAGAAGCCAGAACAGAGGGTAGTGAACTGGCTGTGAACAGGACGGATTACAGGCTGAGGGCAGCAGCGGAGGCCGCGATGGGTCCAGTCTCGCTCTAGACAGAGGATGGGAGGGAAATACAGTAAATCGCCAGAGACAAAATGTAGATTTATAAAGATTTTCTCAGTTATTAAGCTTAATAATGGAGCACAGAGCTCATAAATATATTTCTCTGGAGATTACAGCTCTGCATAAACAAGTATACTGAGGTTTATCGATGCCTGGAAGTAGGAGAGTGGAGTATATAGCCTTTATAACTTTAGAATTAACCAAAAATACCTAAGCAGTATGCTGGGCATTATGGAGGCTTGACTACTTGTAAGTTATTTACATTCACTCAATCTCATTCTACAAAGGATTTGAACACAATAATAGATTTGCTCTATTAGTGCGTATAAGACCCCATGAAAAGCCTGGCCATCAGTAGGAACTATTAACTCTTACTTGACTCTGGAAGCTAAGGCGCTGTTTTAATCAGTTCAGGCTGCTCTAACAACGCCATAGACCAGGCGACTTATGAACAAGACACTCATTGCTCTCAGTTCTGGGGGCGGGAGTCCCAGACCGGGGCACCGGCTGCCCCGCTCCCTGGGGAGGCCCACTTCCTGGGTCCTGGGCAGCCGCCTTTCCCCTGCGCCGTGTGTTCACGCGGTAGGAGGGATGGGGGGCCTTGCTGCGGCCTCTTAATGAGGCCGCTGCTCCCATCCGGGAGGGCTCCCCCCCCACAGTCTGGTCACCTCCCAAAGGCCCCCACCTCCGGCACCCTCACACTGGGCATTAGGTTTCAACCTCTGGCCTTCGAAGGGACACAAACACTCAGTGCCCAGCAGAGGCCCGAGGGCAGGCCGCCTCTGCCTCTCTCCGTCCTGCGGGGCTGTCCTGCCCGACATCCCAGGCCAGTCGCCTCCGAGGGAGGCAGCGCGGTCTCCCTGTCTGCTGCCACCAGCTTCTGGTCTGGGCCCCTCCCTACCCGCGTCCTTAAAAAAGAAGATTGAGTCTGGTTAGCTGGAGAGGGCCTACAGGTGTAAAAGGATCACAGAAAGATTAAACAGATAGTATAAGCCTTTTTTTCTATTCATCATTAAAAAAAGGATTTTAGGACATTAAACTTTTTAGAGAGAGTTTTTCGGAAAATAGCAGATAATATAAAGAAGCTTCTTTGTGTATACAAACACAAACCAAATTTACCTTAACAGCTGGGAGCAGGGGCAGTAAAAACAGTAGTTTTCTTACTTTATTACTTTTATCTCATTTGAACTTCTACAATGTGTATCTTATTTTTGCAATGAGAGAAAGAAAAAACTAAAAGCATCTCTACTCAACCCTCCAGCCCCCACACCCAAAACTGGAGCTAACAGGCTGTCCTGTGGAGGCACTCTGACCTCTGCCTCTAGGCCCCCGGCAACGCCCCGCAGCCCCGAGTCAGTCGGGGTCAGTCGGGGTGCAGAGTGCCACCTCCTCCACCCCCCTCACTGCCGGGTGCAGCACCCAGAGCGTCTCATTTCGGAATCACACAACACAGGCCCGCTGTTAGCCGGGGCCTTCAGAAAATGAATCGGTGGCCCTGGAGGACATGTGTAAACTTTCACGTGCACAGTGAGGTTTTGTTTGGAAGTGACCTTCTCTGCTGGGGAAGAGGATGGACACTGGCGTGAAGGGGGGGGGGGGGCGGTGGTGGTGACTGCAGCCTGAGGGGGGCGAAGGGCGTGGAGGCCACTCGGGGGGGCAAGCTCAGGTTCTCACGACCGTGTTCCCACATGGCAAACATGCCTCTTCCTGGAACACGCGTCAGTCTTTTATGTTTTACCAAGAAAAACAGAGCCAGTTAAACGGTCCCATGCCACTGGAATCTTACTCCAAGATCCTGCGGACAGAGCAGGATGGTAAAATGTTACGATTCCGATCCTGTCGTCCTGTGACTTTGTAAAATGTTTTCCTTTCTCTTTCCCCAAATCTAGGGCTGGTGTGGATGGAAGGGCCCGGACTTCTGGAACAAGGATGCTTACTATAATCTATGTCTTCCTCAGCGACCGAATGTTATTTAAAATGTCTTGGACTCAAAGACTGCAGTAGAGTTTATTATAAATGTGTTAATAAAAAAATAAGTTTAATTTTCCAATTAAATCCTAGATGTAGTCTGATGGTTTAACCTTGATTTTTTCTAAAGGTGTAAATACTACACACAGAAAAGACTTTATTCTTTAGACATTCCTTTAATAACTTAAAAGGCATAGCAGGCACAACCAAAATATTACAGGCATATAAATGCACGCATTCATAAATGTTATCTTCTCTTAGAAGAAAGTTTCCTCCTTCTTGGAAGGAGTTTAGACACACCCAGTGAGCCAGACGCCACGGCCTGTAGCTGAGCAGCAGGTTTGCATGAAGTGAAGGCCTCTTCACACCGCTTCTTAACCAACAAGGCGTCTGTTGTTAAAGAACATTAACAACAGTTAATGTTTTTAAAACAGTAAAAGTTTTAAAAACTATTTTTAAAAGGTTATCTCCCCAACCTTCCACCCTGCAGGACAATTTTTGGTTTCTAGAATCTACTAATAGTTACTAGAACCAGTCTTAAAATGTTGTTAATGAGAATCAAAAAGGTATATTAGAAATAAGACTGCCAAGATTTAAGTAAAACAACAAATTCTGTGCTAACTAAGAGATGCTTGAGGGAGGGAGGAAGAAGAAACTCTGACCCACCAGCACTTCCTTTTGCCACTTGTGTTTTCTGCGCTTCCAAAACTCCGCTTCTGCCTGAGCGTCGGAACACCCTGGTCTCTGCTGGATGGTTTGCCTGATTTTTTTGTCTGCATGCATTTCACTGCTGTAAGAAACTTGGCACATTCTGGAAATCCATATGACCAAGCCAGATCTTCAGCTGTTTGCCCGTTCTTATTACATAAACTGAATTTAAAATAAAAATCGAGTTAAATAAAAATTGGCAATCGTTTAGCCTTTATATACCTCCCTAACAAAAGAGCTTAGAGCTCGCACAGGTGGCTGCGGACTAGAAGAGGGAAAGGAAGCGCAGAGAATTCCATGTTTGCTCAGTGGCTGGCAAAGTCCAGCCAGAGTGGGCATATCAGTTCTGAATAAACGTACTCAATGCAATAAATAAGTACCCAAGAAAGTCAACGAGAACTACTACAGCACGGATTCTCCTGAACGGAAACTAAGGTATAACACCACCATAATAGATGAACAGTTGCACCTCACTGCTCACTGCTTATTTACTTACTCAACTTGAATAACATCAGATATAATAGCCTAACCTTTAAATGATATCACTAAATTATCAATTAGGCAAGCCTTCTTTTTAATGAACTGTAGAACTGCTCCCTGAAAGTATAGTCTTGGGCAAGCATTCTTTTTAAAAGCACATGCCATTACCATATTTTGCTGTGTATAATGTGCACTTTTTTGCCCAAATTTTTGAGGGGAATAAGAATGCACATTATACATGGGTAGTACTAATTCTGGATGTATATAAATGCTTTTAATTCTTTTGTTTATGCTTATGCATTAAAAGTGTAACTCTAGAAAGCAATAATGATATCTGTATGCAAAATAATACCCTGAAATACAATAATCGGTTTTGTTTCTAAATATAAATAAATAATTGAATCAAAAAATTAAAATGAAATCTTTTTTTTCCTGAAAGTTTGGGCCAAAAACGTGGGCGCGCACTATACACAGGAGCGCACTATACATGGCAAAAAACAAACAAACAAAAAAAAACAGTAAGCTGTGGGAGTCTGATTAATATGATCCAAATTAAAGGCACTGAGTTTAAAACTTACTCAATTTGGGCATCACTGGCCACAAGCAGGCTAAGGCATTCCAGGCTTCCAACTTTTGCTGCCTTGTGGATTGGAGCTTCTCCAAACACATCCTTAAATATAAGACACATTTTAGTCTCTCTCCAAAACACTTTCTCGTGGCCCTTGGTGCATGCAGTCTATTGTTTGAGGAAGCTAGTTAGACCTGCATTGTACTGGGCGGAAAAATTTTTTTTAATCCTCACCTAGGATATGCTTATTGGTTTTAGAGTGAGGGGAAGGGAGGGAGAGAAACATCAATCAGTTGCCTCCCAGGACCTAACCCGAGCAACCCAGGCATGTGCTCCAACTGGGAATTGAACCCAGGACCTTTCAGTTTACAGGCGATGCTCCAACCAACTAAATGACATCAGCCAAGGCAGGGCTGACTTTTAATTCAAGATTGTTCTTTTTTTTCCTTATAAGATTCACTTGGTATGTTATTAAATACAAAGCTTTCATTAACAAAAACGTGCAGTCACAGTCATATATACATTAAAACTAAAGTGAATAAAAGCAAAATAGAGTTCTATGAAAGTAAAAAAAAATCACAATTTAAAATTCACCATACTTTAATATTCAATGGAAGATGCAGACTTCCATAAAAAAAAAGTGCTCTAGGAAACAATAATGGTTGTGAGCATGCCTCACAAATATTTTAATTGCCATACTAGACTTCTAATTTGATAACGTAATTGTTCCTTTGGAAATTGTAGACCTGTATGTGCGGCCCAGTGTAGCAGCCAGCAGGCACATACACGGCTCACCAGCACTTAAAATGTGGCCAGTCTGAACTGAAATGTGCTGTAAACATAAAATACACACCGGACTGAGAAAACATACAAAAAGGAAATGTAAAATATCTACCAGTAATGTTTTATACTGAGCACATATTGAAATGACAATTTTTGGACAAATTGGCTTAAATTATAAAACAAATTTCATGTTTCATTTTACTTCACTAATTTCATGTTTCAAAAACTTTCATTACATGCGTGTCTCACACATTTCTCTTAGACATCGCTGCTATCACGTTTCTAACAACTGAACTGAATATTCTGGCGTCTAAGAAATGTTTATGCGGATTTGAGGTGGAGAGGAGGGTTGTACACAGTAACAGTTACCTAGTTACCTGCTGGTTAAGGTCCGCGCCGGTCTGCAGCTGCCAGAGAAGAAAGCAGGCACGGCCGCCACCTGCGGCCAAGTGGACAGGCGACTGCTCGCAGGGATCCGGAGGTGCGTTCACCGAGGCCCCGGCCTCCAGCAGATGCTTCAGACTATCCACCTGCGGGAAGAGAAAAGCTTCAGCATCCCCTTGCCTCCGTGCAGCCCCAGCCCTCCTGGGGCTGAAAACCTTCCAACGCTGAAGAGGCTTGACTCGGCAGCGCCCAGTGGTTAGTCCACTGTCACCTTCGCTAGCGCTTCCGACAGGACAAACTTTTGGAAGCTTAAGCCTGTGGGACAAAAGGGGACCGAGTCTCACCTCTAGGTTGCCATCAAGCAACAGCATTTCCCGCCTAAAGCGGAGGACAGGAGTCCTTGAGCGTGCAGAGCGTTGGGGCACTCGCTGCAGACTAGCAGGTAAGAGTGCACCCGCCGCCCAAGTGCTGCAGAATTTAAAGACCGCCGGGGCTACCGGGCCCGCCCGTCACCCCTGCGCCCCAGCTCTGGCCGCGCCCCAGCAGCCTAACCCTTGGCTGAACCACCCTTCTCAGCCCCGCGGCTGCCGCACGTACGCAAACACTGACACGTGTAACCCAGAACCCGGTGCAGCTGTCAGGAAGGAGGGAGGAGGACGTGGTGCGGCCCGGTCAGCCGATTGGGCAGCTGGAGGCGCCGGGCCCGCCCACATAGGGGCGGGGCCCAAGGCCACCCAACGGAGCCCCAGTGCGCGGGCGCAGGGACGGGCCGGCGTCTGCGCAGTCCGGCTTCTGCGGCATCCCTAAAGCGCGCCGAGTTTGGCACGTCTCACTGGCCTTCCCAGCCCTTTAATCCCTGTGGGGAAGGGGGAGTCGCGGGAGGAGGTTTCGGATTCTGCGAGCACGCACGTAACCAGGAAACGAGGGAGCTTTAAGCAGCCCTGCGGGACCACTTTTGGAAGCCGCCCCACGTGGTGCCGCCGCCGCGTCCCCCACCCCCCGTCTCCGGAGGAAGGAATGAGAGTGTCTTCTGCCTTCAAGTTCAAATCACCCCAGGCTCGCCTCTGTCCCCCAACACCCAAGGCTGGAAGGAAAAGGGGGTGGGGCGTAATGTGAGCTAAGAGGGTCGGCTTACCAGAGGACTACCCCACCCCCAAAATTAAGTGATTTATCAAACCTGACCCTTTTGCCTACACTGGGAATTCCTGTAAAATAAACCCACCCTTGTAATATGTCCCCTCCTGGAGACCCCTTAAGGCGCGCCGCTGCCCTGGTCCCTGGGGAAGTGTTGAGAGTCCAATCCATTAAACTTGAGCTTGCTGAGACCGGCGAGGTTGAGGGGATGGGGGACAGAAGGAAGGGGGAAACGTGTTTGTCCTGACACTCGGGGACAGTTCACGGATAAACGAAGGGACCGGGCCCTGGATGTTTATGTTTATGACAGAGGGCTCTTCCCTACAGGCAGCGCTGACGCACCTCGGAGCCGCTCAGGGGAAATGGCCCTCCTGGAGCTCTTTCCACGGTGGAGCTGTATCATTCCTTTTCCTAAAGCTCGAGAAACGGACTTCCTAACCTCCAATTGTAGCCACTGAACACATGTGTAATCTCTTGACTATCCTTTTCTAAGCGCTTTTTTTTTTTTCACATTAACCTAGCTCAACACTAAAGCTCCAGCCATATTTTTCTTTTCCCTAAAAAAGCCTTGGGTGTGTCCCTTCTAGCTGCGGCTCCCCTTGAGAGCAGGGCTGAAAAATAGAAACGTTCATTGCAATGCTTCTACAGGACAAGCTCGTTGTTCTGTCAAGATAAGTGACCTTTGAGTTGTAATTCTGGTTACAGTACATTATTTTGTAATGAGAGCCGTACATTTTTACAATAATAAATTTATATTACTAGAGTGAGGTACTGACCCCATGGGTAGTTTTAGACATTTTTATTTATATGCATACTTGAACATAAATATGGACATTTATGTTCAGACACCAATATAGAACCATGCTTTTGTTCTGTATTTTTATATGTAAGTGACTCACAATATTTTTTTATGATGTTTAAAGAATGCACTGCAAAAATGCTGTTACGTGAGAACCCGTATCCATGTTGCCAATCTGCCTTCTCCCACGTCGATCTATTAGGTTAGCACTATTTTTTTAAAGGGTTGCAC